AGGATTGTCCTAACTTTAAGGATTGCTTCGAGTTACACAACCATAAAATAATGTATGCATAGCGATTATCCTTAATTAAAGACAATCTAACGACTGCTTCGAGTTACGAGCCCCTGGTTCATTAAATACATGCTCGTGAACGTTTAACTGTGTGCTTATGCCTGATTTCCTGCGCTAGTCCCATTCCACAGGTAATCACGGATACCAACCACTCTCAGACAGATAACACCTGCTCCGAGCCGACCAATTCTGCCTTTCCCTAAACATCAACGAGGAAGGTGAGCCTGCATAAAAAATTGAAATTGCTAAAATACATGCTCAAGGTTAAACCAACTGAAATTACCAAGTTTACAGAATCTATCGTCACCCATGAGCCAGTTTCAAAGGGTTTTTTCTGGTATTTTGCTATATGTCAACTTTCTTAATCCGCCCTCGCTCCCTCTGAAGATTGTACTTGAAGCCAGGGAAACGTCATCCCTCAGAAGATGGGGGAGTATTTCGCAATACGTGACACAGTATTAGTAACAAAATGCGGTAAAAAAGTAGTTGTTTTTCTCTCTTCATTCTAAAAAGAAAATTTGTTTATCTTCCTTCTTCAAAAGTAATGAAATCAATCTGCCCTGTTCGGATTTTGTTTAACCCTAAACGCGGCAAATCCTCTGACATATCCACTTGACCTCCCTTAGTTCCTGCATAGGTTGCTATATAGGGATGTATTCTGAGTGAGTTCGGTTTTACGCTGATTTTAGCAATATTCCAGCAAATTCATGACGGAAACACCAGAAATGGGCTTCACATATTGTACCCATGTGGGCAATGGAACCCGTGCCTTCGGCATGACGTGCGAACGCTTTAACCACTAGGCTACCCCACCGCCCTGGAGTCCCTTGGGACCGAATACTTGCTTTTCAACACTTTGCTCCTAATTCAGGCAGTGAAAGGAGTGTCAGATTGACGTGACCATTTGGTCATGAGTATGTTATTTGCTCCATTTGGTCATGAGTGTGTTGTTTGCTGACAGACCAAGGATCATAATCAGAGCAGTTCTGATTGGACCCTGAACCGACCAGGCAAGGGACTTCTGGCAGATTTGACCTTCAAATGAGAACACACCTCTTATAGGTGGGTGGAGAGGCTTAAAAGTATTATTGAAAAAAGCACTACTTTCCTATCCTCTCCAACTTGATGTGGGAGGAACCCGGAAGTGATGCATGTGATAGACGTCTCGCCACATGGCAAGATCCCGCAAAGGTGCTGACAATCCCAATACATCAACAGTGGGAATCAGTAAGTCCTGGCCAACTCATTCAGCAAATTCCTGCACTTTGAGAACTGGATCATCCCTGCCAACAAATCATCCTTAATCACTACCTGCTAAGACAACAGAGAAGAACACACATCCATGCTTAACATTACCCTTTAATAGCTTTAGATGATTAAATCCAAGTTCATGAATTCAAAGGAATATACTTCCAATCTAATTATAAAGTTACACCAAGTAAAACCACAGTAAATGCATGAACAATGTGCTGTCAACTGAATTGTATTTTAACTTCCACTGACAATTAGCAAACCACCTTAATGACAAAAGAATATAAGAAACAAAACATTATTTTCTTTTAGGTCATTCAACCTTCTGGATATTTCTTCTCTTCTGTGATTTGATGTACAAAATAGACCCACAATGAAATCATAAGGATCATTATCTTAATTACGCCTATGAGCACTAGATCCGATAGGTAAGGGACAACTCCGCACTGCTACTTCAGTATATTTGATCATTAAGGAAACAATAGGTCCTAAACGACATTTCTCCTTTAGATATTTGCAAAATTACCCTAATAGATAGGTAGTGGCAGGGGTGGAAATGACTTTAAAACTGATAGTGTACTCCGGTACAGTGGCACATGTAATGTCACTTGCCCTGATAATTTTCCCACTATACCGACCGTTTTCTTGCTGATTTTTTAAATAAACAACATAATTAACATTGGAAAGTGAACCGGTACAGTGTGATATACAAATTTGCTTGCCCGACAGAAAAAAACACTGGACTTGGACGTTGGGGAATGGGTTATTTCCACCCCTGAGTGGAAGTAAAGCCCTGCCCACTTTAACAAGGTAATGATGAGTTGCCAGTCAGCAATATCCAAGCTGGTATTGAGTAAAAATCAAACCTGCGATTGATGATCTGAGCTACATCTCACACTTTGTATTGCATTATACTCACAGCATGAGATAATCACCTCAACTCACCCCACCCTAACAAGCAAAAAACCCAGTATTTCTTGGCACTATAATCAGTCAGAGAGGCCTCTTAGGTTAGAAATATGGAATAATAATTGAAGTAATTGGCTATTTATGTCTTCGTTACATGATTATATAACATCTTGGTCTCTTATTCCACATGGACACAAATAATGGATGTTTTGGGGTATAGTTTTCCTCTTACTCAGGGGTGGAAATAACTTTAAAATTGGTAGTGTACTCCGGTACAGTGGCACATGTAAAATCACTTGCCCTGATAATTTTTCCACTATACCGGCCGTTTTATTGTTGATTTTTTAAATAAACAACATAATTAATGTTGGAAAGTCAACTGGACACCGGTACAGTGTGATATACAAATTTGCTTGCCCAACAGAAAAAAACACTGGACTTGACTTCAATTTCCATAACTTTGTGTAGGACCTTTCTTAATACATTACATGTATATCCTTTTTTTTGGTATCAAAGAAGTGCAAATTTAGGTTTTTTAGAATATTCTCATATCAAAGTGAGAATTTATTTAAAAGAGTAAATTAGTTATTTGAAGGAATTTCCCACTAATGTAGATAGGATTATTTTCTATCCTTTGGATAATATATAATGCCCAATGACAATGCTTTATGATTGAATGCTGATGACTGCGAATGAAATAGTTGTCCAGTTCTTGCCTAATACTTGACATGTTAAGTTTGCAAAACACTTGCTTTACAAACAGTAAAACACTGAAGGGAAAATGTAAATACAATCCTTCCAATTTAATTAACAAACTTAAATCATAATGGATATCCAAAACAGGAAAACTACAGGCTTACTTTGGGCTGAAAAGAAGAAGAAAAGAAATGAGTCATTGGCTTGAAATTTAGGTTTTTAGACTAAATAGTTTGAGGAAGTATAGGGTACCATGATGCATGATTGAGATATATCTCATTAACAATCTTTTTCATACTTGGCAGGAGTGAGTGAGCATGGTTTAAAGCCGCTTTTAGCAATATCACAGCGGGGGATACCAGAAATGGGCTTCATACATTGTGCCCATGTACGGAATCGAACCCAGCGTGACAAGCGAATGACTGAACCACTGGGTACCCAACCACCCTCATACTTGGCATGTCTTAACCATGCAGGTATTCTTAAATGTGCTAATTTTTAAACAAGAAGTGTGCATGACTAGAAACAGAAGTACTAAACATGACAATATCCATACATGACATAGGAATGCTGATACAGATTTTATATTACACATAACCATCACAGATTAAATACACAAGTTTGAACAACATGTATACAAGTATCACTACTTTCAGTTTCACAATTCAAAGAAAGAGAAGTATGAGCTAATCCACAAGCAAAAAAACAAGAACATATTTTAGAAAGAACATTTGATATTTAACTTCAAGTTGGTCAAAGATGCTTGTCACCCCTGACTATTTTAATGTACATGTATATTATATGAACCTTCAACTTTTAGGGTTGGTTTTGTATAATGAAGTCAATCCTTAATAGTATCCCAATTTCAAACAACTTGATAAAGTTAATGTCAGGAAGGTAGGTTGTTTTCATCATTGACTTAAATGATTTCTGATTTTCAGGGAGTGAAAAAATATAGGACTCAAAAGTTAAGAACACAATATTTTTCACAAAACTACGGTTAATCCTCATGGCTTGTGGGTAATGCAAAATTAAGCCATCCAGTTCTCTATCTCGAGTATAAAACTAATAATTAACATAAAGCTGGCCAAAACACTTGTGGCGAATGCGAAGTTTTTGAAGGATTGTATGGGTTGAACAAATGTGTTTGAATTGACGGAACCGACTCCAGAGACCATACCAACATGGTCCAGAAACAAGGGCAGAGTAGCTCAAGACATAAACTTCAAAAATAAAACAGAACCCTATGATGTTTGTACAACCATGATAAAATAAGCCAGTACACATCTCACAAGCAGATAAACACAAAGGAAAACTCATTGCACTTCAGAAAGAGCAGGTGACAGTGAACCTCCAGCCACCCTTGCTGTATAACATCAGTATTTCATGATCTGTAATGGTTTCGCCTGAAACTGGAATGTACTTGCTGCGAGTAGCTGGAAAAATGCTGGTGCAGCTATATTCATTCATTAACTCACTCACTGAAATGTACAGAAAATCACATGTATCATATGAGGATATATATTATGAACAACTAAATATCAGAAGCTTAAAACACAGGTTTATCCACGCCCAACAGTTTAGATTAATCAGTGAAGAATTCACTAAATAATTGAAGCCATTGACCTTGCTGCCATCTTTTATTCTCACCTAAACACAGGTGAGTGAGTGAGTTAGTTTAGTTTTACACCGCACTCAGAAATATACCAGCTATATGGTGACAGTCTGTAAATAATCAAGTCTGGACCAGACAATCCAGTGATCAACAGCATGAGCACCATTCTACACAGTTGGGATACGATGACATGTGTCAACATAGTCAGCGAGCCTGACCACCTAATCCTGTTAGTCGCCTCTTACAACAAGCATGGGTTACTGAAGATCACTTCTAATCCGGATCTTAAACACAGGTAGATAAGATCCAAAGTATGTGCATCTGTCTGTCCATGTGTCTTTGTGTTTTACAACTTTGTGTGTGTATTCTAGCAGGCCAGCCAGTCATGTGGTTTACTTCATTTTTCAGCATGGTTTTCAAAATCTGGAATACACATCCACTTAAAAAAAAGGGCAGAACTTTCAATACATGATTTTCACAATTCAGTTTATCATCCATAGTCTCGATTAGATGTTATAAAAGCATATTTCAAGGGGCAAGAAGTAGCCCAGAAATGCGTTGTAAATATTAAAGAAGTTGTAAATCCATACCATACGTTATTATGTTACCTTCCAGCTTCTAAATGCCCATGAAGCATCTGATAATTAGCTTTGAACAGATCTCGAGGATTAATGTTTATTTAAGGCTACAAAAGTCCAATTCTTTCAACACTGGATGAACCAAAATCACAGTTAGATTTTTTTCTCTTGAATCTACCCCAGTGTACAGGCATATCTGTCAATACAAGATGATAAATAAAAAACATCTGAACTGAATATTCTAACTATGTAATCCACAAGACGCTCACACTTTACAGAAGTATCATGTCGGAGCTATTCCGATGCAGACAAGAATGAAGATGAAGTCTCTGGTACAGGACAAACTGACAAGAAAACATAACTGAAATGGATACACAGAAAAAAAACCCATGATAATCCTGGTCCTCCACAACCATGGTAACACAATATGATGGTCCTCTGTAGACATGGTAACGTAACGGTTCTCTGTAACTATAGTAGCACAACATGATAGTCCTCCATGTCGATGCTAACACAAAATAATGGTCTTGGTCTTCCATAACCATGGTAACCTAAGATGATAGTCCACTATAACCATGGTAACCCTAGATGATAGTCCACTATAACCATGGTAACATGAGATGATGATCCTGTCTTCAATAACCATGGTAACCTAAGATGATAGTCCACTATAACCATGGTAACTCGAGATGTTGATCCTGTCTTCAATAACCATGGTAACACCGGGTAACTACATATACTTGTAGACGAGGAAGGCTGGCGTGCCACTGTATTTTGTTGCAAACTGTTTGCCATCTGCTGTGGGGTCGGAGAAGGCAACTTCATCTTTTTCAATAAGAACACCATGCTCGAATACTTGTCTGTAAAATAAAGAAGAATAACAATACAATGCCAACTCGTAGACTGGTCCAGTGATAAACATGCTATGACTAAGTGAGTACCAGCAAGTAAAATTTCAAGGCTAGTTCCCTGCTCAAATTCAGGTGCATCAACAACATTCAATGAAACTATCCAGGGCAAGAACGATAAGTAGTGTACGTAATCAGAAACCAAACAAACTCCCCCATGAAGTCAACAATTATAGATGCCATCATCAATCACTGCTGTTTCAATGAATAAATTCTTACTTTGCATAATTTGACTTCACGCTTTCAACCAATCAGTGAATTATACAAAGGTCTGACACCTTTTAGACCATCAATCCACAGTGGACATTTGTTTCGAACAATCCATCTAGCACTACTGACCTAACAGTGTCGACAAGTCGAGAGGCGATGCCTTTCCGCCGGTACAAATTGCAAACCCACAGCCTGCTGATGCCAACCAGGGCGGGCTCGGGCTCCGTCTCACAACACCAGGGCCGACCTGTACGCTGGGAGATCACCTGACTTCCTCCCTGGCTCTCCGGAATCACTCGGTAACCCTGACACGAACATCATCATTCACAATTACTAGAATAAATCTTTGATTTCATTAATGACACCTACTGGTCATTCATGAAACCAAGTCGACTAGTCTCAACTCTTAGTTCTACTTCAAAAGGACTTGTTTGTTGTACACTTATTTCATTTTTAAAAAATATAAATTTTCCAGCGAGTTAAAATTTAATGTCGCAGCAACATTTTTTCAGCCATATCGTGACCTTCCAGTAATAAGTATAATAGATATAGGTGTAATAATATGTTGTGGTCTATAAACATTAGTTGCGATATGATTTTTATCATGATACAGTACGCATATTTCATATGCTGACCCTGCCGTGATATTGCTGGAATATTGCTAAAAGTGTTGTAAAACTAAACTCATTCATTTATATGTTGACATTCTTTTTTTCGCATGTAAATCACAAGCCAGAATTATATATTGAAGGAGAGACAAACATTATCCAGAGGCATTATTAATGTTATTTTATTCATAACCAGCTGGGAAATACATAAGAATCGACTTAAGCTGGTTGTTGAAAAGCTCCTGTAATTATTCATGTTTTTACACCAATATAAATAGTAATCAAAGGGATATTGTATCAGTATATAATACTGTACTTCTGCAGTCACTACACAACTATCCAATAAGCAGTAGATCAAAGAGTTAGGATTTCTTTAGACCATTCCTGTATCGACTTAAGTTACAAACATCCACTATGACAAAGTTTCAAGCCAAAGTCATTAGACAATCATCAGTTTTCACAGGATTCTTTATAAAGATTCCAACACTAAGATTCTGTTGACTGACGGACATACCTCTGTAATAGACTCCGCCACGACACACCCTTGCACTTCCTTCTCATCCGAGACGTACAGAAACACCTGTAACATAAGGAGGTCAAACTCATGGTAACCATTAAAACAATACTCACTCACCCATCCACGAGACACATGAAATATACCCAGTGAAGATGACACAAGTAAAACTGAAGAGAGTAGGCAGGAATATGTTTCCATTTTGCAAATACCATATAGTGATTAACTTCAGTTTTAGAAAAAACACCAACAGCTGTTCACTGGACAAAGGGAGATAATTTAAGCCATCACTCTTCCTGAAGTACAATAAAATACAACCACACCTTGTGTCCACTGAATATTCCAATAACACATAACAAAAATAAAATAAATTAGTGTACTGACGCTGTAGTATACTTACTTTAAACAAAAAAATTAATACATGTTTTAACAAAGGAGAAAAACAAACTGAAAGTGCTATTTTTACCACCAACTAATGAAGATGAAAAATAATCTGACATATTACAAGGTTTCAGTTTCTCTGTGTGTCAAGGGAGGTAATACAATTATCGAGCAGAGCCATATATGCATCCAGAGTACTAGTGGAGATTTATCCACCATACCCTGGAGATTATCGAGGATGTAAAATACATCCTTGTAAATATTACATGGATTCAGTTTCTCTTGAGGTGTGTGTCAATGTAATGGAGGTTACCTTGAATACAATTATGGTTTGTACCACACTGTTAGTTGGAGGCGCCTTGAGGTGTGGTTTGTACCACACTGTATGTATATGCATCTTGAGAGTACTGTATGTAAGTTGGAGCTACCTTGAGGTGTGGTTTGTACCACACTGTATGTAATGTTGGAGGCGTTACCTTGAGGTGTGGTTTGTACCACACTGTATGTAATGTTGGAGGCGTTACCTTGAGGTGAGGTTTGTACCACACTGTATGTAATGTTGGAGGCGTTACCTTGAGGTGTGGTTTGTACCACACTGTATGTAATGTTGGAGGCGTTACCTTGAGGTGAGGTTTGTACCACACTGTCTGTTCTGGGAACCCAAGGTCCAGGCTCATCATCCTGTTGATTTCCTCCACCTGCAGGTAAATGCATGAGTAAGCATTTCATCATAACATTAAACTTATTCAATCTGCAAAGATATGAATCCTTCATCTTTTTCACAAAACATTTCATACAGTAGAAATTATGTATGCCAAGTTTCAGTACAGGGTAAGCTATGACTTTTTACTTTTAACAATTTCTTTGTTCGTTGTTTAATGCCACAATCAGCAATATTCCAACTACATTGCACTGGCCTGTAAATAATTGAGTCTATAACAGCATTAGCATAGATCTACGCAATTGGGATACAATGACATGTGCCAACCAAGCCAGCGAGCCTGACCACCCCATCCTGTCAGCTGACTCTTACAACACACATGGATTGATAACGACAAATTCTAACCTGGATCACCCTCTGTCAATAATCTATGAACAAACACACATCCATCTCATATATCTCATGGTAAAAGTGGTAGTCCTAACTTCTACAAGTCTTGTGCTGTTGCTAATTTTGGAGCCAGCAGTTGCTATGGAATACTGAAGTACAGTGAATTACAAGGTTTTTTTAAAGACTTGTGGATTTGAGACAGATGGATTGCTTGTCCGTAGTTCAATGCCACCCTCAGCATTATTCCAGCAAGCTGGCATGTTGTGAACACTTGGCTGTGGATCAGACAGTCCAGTTATCAATATTGTGAGAACATTCCCCTCCATGTTGGTATGACTGACTGACTGAGTTTGGTTTTACGCCGCTTTTAGCAATATTCCAGCAATATCACGGCAGGGGGACACCAGAAATGGGCTTCACTCATTATACCCATGTGGGGATTCGAACCCGGGTCTTCGGCATGACAAGCCAACGCTTTAACCACTAGACTACCCCACCGCCCCCCATCTTGGTATGAAAACACACCATCAGCTTGGGCAGTGGGTTAGCATTAGCTCGTCCCGCCAAAGCCACAGGTTCGATTCCTCCCCATGCTCACATGGGTACAATATGTGAAGCCCATTTCCGGTGTCCCCCACCATGATCAATAATGTGAGAACATTCCACACAGAGCACCTGTTCCCTAGACTACGACCAGCACTGTCTGTTGGGGTCTTATTCCAACCTGTAACCCTCACTGATGAGAGACTGAGAGGACAAAGACATGCTAGCAACGTACCTTCTTTGTTGCATACTTCGGATCTTGTGATAGAACAACAATAATCCTGCCACCATCATCCGGAAACTCCTGCACAACCCGTTCTTTCTTCCATCCCTGACACATCAACAGAATAACATGTAGATAAAATGCATTCAGGTCATCTCTGGTACCTACCTCAAGAAAAGCACTGCATTTTTCGAAATTTAAAAAATATATAAATTAAAAACTATTCTTGAACTGCTGCAATATCATGATATCCATATATAATTCCTAAAATGTTAAAATGCAAACTGATAGTATTATAATATATACCTTCGAATCCATTTACAAAATATATGTATGAGCAAGCATGACAGCCTATTACAAGTCCTGTAATACCAAACAGCTTGAATAGTTGAGCAAAATCAAATTTGAAGGAGTGTGATATTAAAATGATGTAGAAAATATCATCTTCCATATACTTCATTGCTAATGATATTCCTCCGGACTTACTGGAAAGCTGAGGGCACTAATGAACGTGAGGTGGATCTTGGCGTGGTCTGCCTCATCACTGGGATCTCCCTGGTTGTACAACATGTTGCAGGTCTTGCATTGGATGGCGCCGATCTTCTTCTGACCAGCGTCCTGCAACAGTAACACTTAACAACACTGGCCTCAAATGCAACACATACAGGCCAAATAAAAAAAAGGTTATGGTTCTGACTACACCTCTTTCAAATTTAGGATAGGTAGGTAGGAATTCTTTTTTTTTTAACATTTTTTTTTTAAAAGTAAAGTATGAACTAATAACACATTTATCAATGTATAATTGTTTATTCAATCAAGTTTGAGGCCATCATGTCAACTTTCTCTATCAAAATAACCGTTGTCCATTGGTGCCAGGCAAAAACAATGGTATCTGAAAGCTTATTTTATCCACACCTCTTAAAAAACTAGGGTCGGCACCAGAATTCAAGAGTCGGTCGGGTAATCGGGAACCACAAAAAAAATTTTAGGCCTAATTGCAAAGTTTGTACAGTATGTATTAACATGTCTAAGGCCAAAAACAATTTGTAAGTATAATAAGAAATATAAAAGAATATTTGTATTGCACCTCCACTGAAGCATGCCCTAAGCACTGTTGTCATTATTATCACCCATTTGTGGATCAGTGAGCACACGATCTTCTTTCTAAGTTCACTTGGGAGTACACAACTCAAGCTGCTTGCGAGACAAAACATGGTTACAAGTCACTACCAAATCCCACCAGGTACCCATTTATAGCTGGGAGAACAGACATATATCTTTTCTAAGATGGGATCAGGTGGTCAGGCTCATTGATTTGGTTGACACCTGTGATCATATCCCAACTGCGTAGATGCTAATACTGTTGATCACTGGATTGTCTCGTCCAAAATCGATTATTTTCAGGCTGCCACCATATAGATTGAATATTGCTGTGTGGCGTAAAACTAACCTCACTCACTCTTTTCTAAGAAAGTGTTACATAAAAAAAATCATTTGTTACACCACAGACATGGTTAGTAATTACTTTGTTACGCAGGTATAAAATCACAGTGAAACAATAATGACTGTCAAGCCTTACAATAATCATTTGTTCCATCCCATCTGTGTCCTTGGTGACTTTGAAGCCTGGTGAGATTCGTGGGGATGACCGCAAGGACCTCCGTGTAGACAGTGGGCTGAAATTTCAGACAAAAACGTTCAAATGACTCACCAATGATTAAACCAACTGAGATTTCTCTTTCACTATCCCATAACTGGTCAATAATACAGTGTAAGTTACGAATTCATTTTGTGTAACATCCTAAAACTAACACTGTAATAAGAGTCTGATGCCAATGTTGCAAAGGTCTTTGCCGAACTTGTCCAGATTACATATTACCAGATTACAGAATGTACATCAGTATACCCTTGAGTACAGTCAGAAGTCTCAGTATGTCATATTTGTAATATTTTCCTTTCAACTCAGCCATTACTGTAAAGCTATAGACCAAAATGAAGCAAGTCTAGGTTTTCCTCAGGTTGAAAAAGAAAACCCATCTCACTGGGGTGACTTTCCAATTTATATCACATTCACACATAAAGTTAAATGTTTTTATCAAAATTATATATTTAGAATACCTGGATAGTGTTAGTCTATACCTCCTCACTACCAAGTGTACATCGACAGGGTGTGGACTACAGATCTATGGGGAACCTCTGGGCATAACCATAATTACTGTCAAAATCATTTATTGACTAGCCTGCATCTGTCTTCGTTAGTAGATTATAGAATTCATACGTGGCCTATTTGCTTGGATAACCCTGCTTATATCAAAGTAAATTTTCCTTGACTAATGACTCTGTGATTGGGTAAATTCATTGACGTTCGATTCATTCAGCAAACAACAAAATGAACTTTGCTTAAGAAAGGTAAGGTTCTTTATGGATGAGAACTTCTTTATTATATTATTATCATGATGATGCAACATTTTGGAGTAGGTTTTCAACTGCTGTCAAACAAGAGTGACTGACTGACTGAGTTTGGTTTTACGCCACTTTTACCAATAGTCCATCAATATCACGGCGGGGGACACCAGAAATGGGCTTCACTCATTGTACCCATGTCCGGATTCGAATCCGGGTCTTCGGCATGACAAGCCAACGCTTTAACCACTAGACTAGCCCACCGTCCCCAAACAAGAGTGAAGTAAAAACATGGAGGTAAGTATCAAAAGGATTACCAACATTCTTTGCTAGACTTGTGACTCAAACCATACTATGATTGCATACCAAGAATCACAGAACCTCAAAACACAACAAATTTCTCCTCCCAGAAGTTTATAGGTTTGCAGATCCTATACAAGCTTAGCCCAATGAACACCATGTGCCCTGTTCTACCAATAAAGGCAATGTTAAAATGTCTTGAAATGTTGTCTAAAAAGCTGAGAAACTTCTTTGATTGGCATTCTAGAAGTTGAGGAGATGAAGAATGAGGACAATTTTTGTGGGCGTTTTGACAGATTCTAATGTCGCTGACTGTCACGACTTGCTTGACAATGACATTAGAATCTATGTCGAAACGTTGCCTACACAGAATGACTGACTGACTGACTGACTGACTGAGTTTGGTTTTACGCCGCTTTTAGCAACATTCCAGCAACATCACGGCGGGGGACACCAGAAATGGGCTTCACACATTGTACCCATGTGGTACACAGAATGAAGCTGTATATCCACAAATATTGTCCTCATTCTTAAAACTGAGAAAGTAATAATATATTCTAATAGTATGTTGTGATGATTTGCATGATGTTCCTCAAGCTTGTAATATGTTTACAATAACAAACACAATCTTTACCTTGAATTGGATTGAGACTCTTGCTTTTTCTTCTTGGGATCAAAGATTGAGAAATATTTCTTCTCTTCTGAACTGACGTCTTTGGTAGGTGTAGCTGACCTATCGGAGTACACAGATGGTGGCCGCGACGTCTCAATGTCGTCACCCATGAGACTGTCAAACCCAAACAGGTCATGTGATCCTGACAGAGAATCGGTTTTCCTTGAGTTCAATGGTTCACTGATCAATGACACACTTGTCGGGGAGCTCTCCAGGAAAGAGTCAACCGAGCCTAGTGATCCTCCATCAGTTTCAACATCACATTTGTTTACATCCATGAAACTATTTTGGAGTTTGCTCGTCTTTAAAACAATTTGTTTGTCACTGTTAATGTTTCTGGGAATTACCTCACTCTGTCCTTTGGATTTTGACTGTATGCAGTTTTGGAGCTTCACATGGCTTTTGAAAAGTTTCTTCTCATTTGTTCTAGGTGAGTCTGAAACCTTCCTAGTCATCACAAAAGGTTTCGACATATTTTTTCCAGATGTCGAAATGTCTGTGTTGTCGCCGCTGCTGGGCTCACTCTCCCACAGAAAAGCATCTTGGACATTTTTGCTGGATTTCATTTTCAGTTTTGGGTATTTACTGTTAGTGGTTTTCTTTCCCTTTTTAGCACTCTTGGATTTGGTTGACCTTTCCCAAAGGTTCCCACTCAGTCTTTTGGGGACAAATTTTAAATTGAACCCTTTCCTGACAACAATACTCCCAACCATTTTGTCAGCATTTGCTGGGGATTTGGTTCTAAAAAATTTCTTTCCTGAGCTCTTACAAGTTTTATTCAAACTCTTCAGTTTGCGAGGGGTGTTTTCAGAGTCTTCCTTATCAACTTTCTTCGGGGCTGGTGTCAGGGAACCTTTTGCATTTTTAGTAACTGTAATCTTCCTCCTTCCTCTCACTGGAGTATCTTTACCTTGAACTGGATTAGTTTTAATAACAGGTGTTTTCTCATTGTCATTTTCACCTTTATTACGCTTGGATCTTCTGGTGTAGCCACTGCCTTGGGAGTTTGGGCTGCCATTTTCAGAACTAGTCTGGCCATCTTTCCATTTGTTTTGGAGTCTTTTAGTATTTCTGATATTTACCAGTTTCCTTTCTGTCAAGGGACTGAGCACCACAACAGGACTGGACATTGAGGAAGAAGAACTTCCTGTGACCTTACGCCTGGATCCGTAAAAAGAATTGGTTGCAAACACTGGGGAATCATCGTCAGCATTAGCGAATGGGCTTTTGATGGGAGAAGAAGCAGTTGAAGGTTCCACTGAATTAGTCCTTGGTCTTTTTCTTGGAGAAGTAATGTCAGTCCTGGAAGCAAAATTGTAATTATTATCTACATAAAGCAAAAATATCTAGCCATTTTGTGGTTAGTATAATGTTCGACGTGAAGATTCACAGAAAATGTTAAGTGAATTCGTCCCTGTCCCATAAATAGAGTGAGTTAGTGAGTCGAGTTTTACGCCGCACTCGGCAACATTCCAGCTATATGGCGGTGGTCTGTAAATAATCGAGTCTGGACCAGACAATCCTGTGATCAACAGCATGTGCATCGATCTGTGCAATTGGGAACCAATGACATGTGTCAACCAAGTCATCGAGCCTGACCACCCGATCCCATTAGTCGCCTTTTACGACAAGCATGGGTTACTGAAGATCAATATTCTAGCCCGGACCTTCACGGGTATCTAGTAGAGACATCATGTCTCCATCAGAGATGTCTCCTTATATATTCCATTCCAACAATTATGCCATCTTTATAATGTTTTGTTTCAAGTGTTTCTTGAAATTATCTAACATCAACTTCCTTCTGTAAATAGTGAAACAAGCAATCTTCTTGCAATATTCATTAAAGGTCATGTTTATGCGATACCTGCAGTCAAGCAGTAAATAAAGGCCTGTAAAACATACATCTATGTAAGCTGAATGGGTATTGATAACTCCTGGCAATGTAAGTGTTATTTAGATTTTGTAGTCCTTTCATGCATATATGAAAACATTAAGTCAAAACTAATTGGGTTATGATGATTTAATTTGCGGTAATTAACTCCATTAACACCAACAATGGAAGCCAAAAATACAATAATTACTCATACTTCTTTTTATCAGGAGAGGGCTGTAATTTCCTTTTCCTTCTCATGCTGTATGTAGCCATCACTTGTGGCAATCCTCTGAAAGTGAAATAATTATGTTTGAACAAGTTGTGAGTTGATACTGAATACCAACACGCGATTCAAATACATTACTGAAAAACTAAATAGGTGTATATCATTATCAAACGTTTGCCGAATGTGCTTTATTTACGTTGTCATTCTGTCATATTGAATGAATAAAACGGTACATCTATCAGTCGTTCTTATCTTATGTTGTTAAACTACAACAAACGGAACTTTCGAACAGCTGTACACATACATACTTCAGAGAAATTTAAATAATATATCGCTCGACAAATTGCAAATGGCTTTTGCTCAAAACGAGTTGAGTGAACACTCGTTTATCGAGGTTATAATAAATGAAAATGACGATAGAGTACGTCATAACTTGGTCTAAAATTGCAAACGTCCATATCTAAAATGACATTGGTGCACTCAGGAAAAGAACATGATATATTTAAGCAAATATTACCACCACAAACTCATATGTCACCAGAAAAGTCGCTAAACTCCGCCAAAATGTATTTGGCGCCCTGACAGTATGACCTTCAGTTTTCCCGCAAATAACTGTTGATTGGTTCAGTAGCCCTTACTCAGCAAATAATTGACCAATGAACAGACGCATACCGAAATCCACCAAGAAAGATAACTCTAATTTGTGAAAAGCTGAATAAAGAACTGGTACTGTTGGTGGGTTGCGCGGTCGCAATATTCATACACCCAGTTTAGATAATACGCAAAACTACCTTCGGTCGGGAAGCACACATAAAATGTTTACTACAGCTCAAACAGGACATGGTCTGTGTAATAGTGTATGTTATGTTGATTGCCCACCGCCTCCAACACAGAAAACATTGGTGTACACATAATTTAGGAGATCATTCATTTCTAAGTTTGACTTGAGAGTACTGTTACACGATTTTACTTTCTTGATATATCATTTGATTTTGAATCTTCAATAAATATTTTTACAATTTCATAATACACACCTGCTGACAGGGATCTAATAATAATAGGAATTTTTTCAGCGCACTTCAAACATGATAATAGTCATATGATTGCAATTTGTTTTACCCAGTCTGCACTGAACTGATTTGTTTTTACACCATGTTACCTTGCCGTAGATTCTTTTTACAAACTGTCAGAGATATCGTTTTGATTGTTAAATAGGCATTAATCCAATTTAACGACAGTCTCTTCAGTTTGAATTCCCAAGAAAAGATAAAACAGTACACTTTCTTTTGCCTCTCAGTATTATTGCATAAAAATTACAATTCAATACCATGTCTTCAAAATCTGCGAGTGTGTTTGAAATTATGTTTCCATTTTAGAAAACTGAGAATCCCAAACTTTGTTGTATAACATAATTTATGAACAGATTAATTATTATTTAATTTAACAGAACGACACGTGGTTAAAACACATGAGACCCCAATTCAGGAGTATTTCGTTGTTTGAGTGGATGGGATGAGGAATCCAAGGATAGTTTTGGCCTTCAGTGTGAAATATCTACTGCAACTATATTTTGCTGTTAGTGAAAGATGATAGCAAACATTTTTCCAACTGTAATGGAAGGCACCGCAATTATTTCTAAATAAGCGAGTGAGTGAGTGAGTTGAGTTTACGTCGCTTTTGATAACAGATATAGCACGGCTCGTCAGCATGTGAGGAGAGTCCAAAGTGATACAGGTCTCAGTCATGAATTGATTGATGGAGTTTAGTTTTACGCAGCTTACAGCAATATTCTAACAATATCACGACGAGGGACAACATGAACGGGCCTTTTTACCCCATTCATGAAAAACAGAACGAGCTTGATGCTGACAAGCAAATATCTTAACCATGTCAAATCTTGGATCCGAAATCACGACCACCCGGCACGCTTGAGGAATACATTTTAGGAACAATATTACACACATCATTCGTTGCATTATATTATTTCACTGTTTTAGGTTATTTAATACAGTTTGCATTCTATTAAAATAAGCTGGAGGATACTCCATTCTTTGTAGTGCCATTTCCGTTCACACTCCGGTGCAGTGATAACTTCGATGCATGGATCTCTGGGTAGTAGAATGATTGTGCTGCTGTGAAACTTCGTAAGCTGGTTCTCGGCTCCCTTTGCGCACGCCAACTTGCCGTATGCTAGACGGGGCCCAGCTTAGGAAACTTCGACGTTGGACCACAGAAAAAGAATGTGTATGACGTCATAGTGGTCCATGACGTATACAACACTAATCTCACGGCGTGGGCCGATGACATTTCTTCACACAAGAGATATTATTGTAACTTGTAGATACAATTATACAAGAAGAAGAAGTGAGAATTATATTAGAACCTTTGTTTTAGCGAATACTAAGGCAAAGAAAAAAGGAGAATTTTCGGAAGTTGCCGATATCGAAAGTTGTAATGACGTCGTTATGATTATGACGTCATAGACAATCACACTGTCGTGAGAGACAACATAGGCCTATCCTTCGCTCTTCCAATATTGCTGTATTTTGGGGAAATTTTGGAATCAACCGCCCACAGCAGTTAAGAACATTGTGCTGACTGACAGTGCATAAATGATGGGTTCGGAAGACGTAAACGGTAAGTCCTAACAACGACTGGGCACGCCAGATTCATTTCTATTCCTTTTTTTTAAATATTTCCTCTCGAGAATATTTCATCTTAACTTATGATGACAGTTTTAATTGGATTTATTGAAGTTTCATATTTTTTTCCCAACAGTTGTGATCTCATCAACACCAACAAAAAGACGACAATTTTCGTACCCTGAATCTGACAGGCCTCAAACTAACAACTCCCCCAGAGATGAGAATACGCTATCATTGGATGCGGAACCTGTGGATTCGATCAGACCCTCAAGTCAGATTCTAGCATCTACCAGCTCCGCTGCTCGAACTGATGCCTCCTCCCCCAGATCTACTGCTCCACATAACATTGTGTCGGCAGCCGTTGGGACTCCGACATTAAAAAGAAGTAAGATAGAATCCTTAAATATGTCTTGTAGTTACCTTTAAGTGGCATTACAGGAGTTGAAGTATCGATCACTTATTACACAGCTGACTTGAGCAGTTTCTCTATTAGTGCCTTTAGCAAGCAATCGTTTGTAAAGTGCCGCACAACAGAATGTATACACTTATCACGTGATGGCGGCTAAAGGTGACAAAAAACAAGAAAATAACATATGTTATGTGTAGGATTGCATTTTCACGTTTATGTACAAATCCTAGTACTTTTTAAGGATAGAATCCAGACCGGGATTCGAACCCACACTTTATGAGTGTGGTTTCGAAAAGGCATTAAGTGTTCAAACAAGTTATAGTTCTTCAGTGGTGACACGATATTAGAAACGGGTATCGTAGTTATTTTTTTTACTTTACATATGAGGTATTTCGGTGATTTTCAGCCTTGTAATATTTTACTTTCTTTTACCCAACAGTATGGGTAAAGAAACCCCGTGCTATTTAGAGTCTCCCAGAGGAGATGAACATAATCGAGTTGTGAAAATGTTTTTGCATTTAGCCTTGTTGAACTTCTTAAATTGTATTCTTCTTTGCAGTCCCAGGGAGGAAAAGAAAATTGTCTGACAGAGAGACAGAGGAAGAGAAAAAAGAAGAGAACGAAAGAGAGGCGTAGAAATCACGTTCATACCAGAGCTACGGTAAACCATTATGCATATTTCTTCATCACAATCACAGAATTGTGCCTGAAAAATTAAACCCCAACCATTTGGAGGAACAAGCACCCACAGAATCAGGCTCACACTAAAGTATTGAAAACGCCATCCATTTATCGTGCCTTTTAAACAACTAAATGTCTTTCATGTCACTTATTTTGGGTTGACATGGTGTATCCATACTGCATCCGTGTTGCAGTGATTATGTTACTAGCGTTAAGTGATTGAAATAGTTTGCGTACATATTAATATTAAATCTGATCAGCAGGCCCCGACAAGCACCATGAAGGCGACCTGCGACACTATGGAGACGGATGCCATGAGATACGGGAAGATGCTCGGCTACAATGTGGTACCAGGTACGTTAGATGGGCAGTAGTGTGAGCGTTCGCTTGTCAGGGTTCGATTCCCCACATAAGTAACGCGTGTGAAGACTGATTTTGGTTCTCGTCTGATATAACACGTGTTCCCTGCAGACTACACCAACTACCTCGTCGTGCGGTCAGCCTACGGCTACGGTGACATCAGCCACTCCTCTGCCATTACCAGAAGTCCTGAGTCTCTACGTCTCCGTCACCATGACACCTCTTTCGAGAGGACAGACAAGATCATGACCCCGCGAGATAAGGTCAATCAGCTGGTGAGAAATGGTGGCTGTCCCAGACACAACACAAGATCAGGTAGGACGGTATACGTTTGTTTATTTGTTGTGTAAATCTCTCTCAGTAATATTTCAAATTGCTGGGATCCTGAAGATGTTTGTGTCTCGCGCAGGCAAACCAGTCTGATATTCTGATCTACATTGTATTCGGACCTTTCGACATTCATGGGACAGTGAGTTCAGTTTTAGGCCGCTTGTAGCAATATTCCAGCAATATCACGGCGGGGAACACCAGAAATGGGCTTCACACATTGTACCCATGTGGGGAATCGAACCCGGGTCTTCGGCGTGACGACCGAAACGCTTTAACCACTAGGCTACCCCACCGCCCCCATGGGACAGTCCTGGGGACTATTTCTGACCAGGACAGGGAGATGATATTGTAGATATAACCAGTTTCTTTTAAATATACTGGGGTATTGGGTGCAGCGTTGGCCATACCGAAGCCCGGTTACAATGTCTGATGTCCAATATTGGTGCTCCCCTCTTTGATACCACAGAAATAGTGTTTAAACGTGCAGAATCAAGCTCACTCACTTTTTATGAACTAAGCATTGTAAGTTGAATTTGTTAATCGTGAGTGACTTGAGTGAGTTTGGTCGTTATGAGTGAGTGGGTATGGTTTACGAGCGCTTTTAACAACAAGGTTTCAGATATAACATGGTGTGTATGCTTGAAGAAAGACCTACGTTGCGCAGTTATTAGACGTTTACTATATGGTGAAAGCCACGAACAGTCTGTTTTGAACAATATTTCAGTGATATCTATGGCGAAGAAGTATTTTAGTGAAAAGATGTATGCAGTGATGTATGCATTGTGCCACTGGTGCTACATGCCAGACGAGGTATCATAGTGAACTATTTGCAATGTTCTAAAGCGCACAAGTTGGTACTCATTGAAGTAAACTGCCTACTTAAGCATTATCTTTGCATCGTTTTGACCAAGGTTTTTAACAGCAGTTCGCTATTTCTGCAAACTTAAATTGTATGTTTGCATAAATCTTTACATAAATACTGAATCAAAAAGTTCTGGTTACAGCTTCTCGACTTAAAAAATCAGGTCATGTTTCAAACAGTGGAGTCATTACCAGGCATTTATAATATCCCTTTTATTCCATTTCAGATCCAAACGACTATCTTGTCGTCCAATCAGTGTACGGATATGGCAATATCAGCCAATCGTCGTCAATCAAGCGGGAAGGCGTTCAATTCACACATTCCAATTCCTAATTAGGACCGAACATTTACACGAAATTAACGTTCCCCACAGAAAACAATAGGTTACAGGGAGACTTGTGAAATGTTCACGGTTTTATTTTCATATTTTTCATTGTATAAAAGTTGAAAACGAAGAATATTTGAGTATGATGTTCAGTTGATGAGAATGATCGATGAGTGCTTATAAAGTCGCCACCAGTTGTTCATTGTTATGTTGAGGATGTTTCCAGCATCTAAATATGGGGGTAGTCTTCACTGATTGTCTCATCTGCCCAAAATAATTTGTTGCAGTTGTTTATTCTTTCAACACTGGTCTTTCATTCCCACTCCGGAACATTTTACACATGCTGATACGTTTAACTGGAATATTACAGACGGTTGCTTCAAACACCATTCACCAAGTCGTGAGGCACATCGGAGAGCAAGTGAGCGCCAAATGTTATCTGATGGTACTGTGTCAATTTGATGTGGAGGAAACCCGGAAGTGATGGGTCATCTGATGGCACAGTGCCAATTTGATGTGGGAGGAAACCCGGAAGTGATGGGGTCATCTGATGGCACTGTGTAAATTCAGGGATAATCTACAACTTATATAGTCTCCCTGGTCAATTTGATGATAGAGGAAACCCGGAAGTGATGCGGGTCTTAGACGTGAAAACCACGGGTTTGGTGCTGACAACATATAAACATAATCAAAATGAACCAGGATCCACAACGAGCGTTTGTTTTCATCACGTCTAAGGGTTTCAACTCTGTCCATCGAATTGTGGCATTCAGATTCAACCTTTACACGGTAATAGTGACGTAACACACAAATAACCATGAACCAGTATGGATGAAATTTCCAAATTTGATGCATCAGTGACAAAAATGATGTCCGATGCAATTCCCTATTTTGACTTATACCATGCGTTCCCGAATTATTTCAGGTGAACAATTAACTAGACTTACCATATGTTTATGACGGGTGCCACCGGTGGGGCAGGATACGCTCACCTTTTCGCGAACACGTGGTATCATCACTAGTTCATACTGATTCATAAACACATGCTCTGTCATGGTATTATTGCATGGAGTGTCTGGTCCAGACGCGATTTGTTTACAAACAGTATTGTACAGATGTAATATTGCAGAAACAAATTTATCATCCAAAACTGTGTTCCACAGGTGAACTCGCTTGTGTGAGATCAAACGTTATTACCCACGTGGTCAACGTATGGGTAGTTGCATACTAATCTCGTACGTCACACGTGTGTCGTATCGCGTTGACCTGTGTCGTAACGACTTGACCTGAGATTCTGACGATTTGATTGGATAACCGATGACCTCTCAATTAGGTCACATTCTGACGTAACTATTTTTTCATTCATAACAAACACGTGAATCCATTCATTCTATAACTTAAATGCATTGTGGGAATGTAAACATCGCGAACGTTGCCGTGTCGCTGTTTAATTGTGAGTCGAACTGAGATATTATACCCGTCGAAAAACGTGAACGCAATGTTTCCACCAGTGATGTTAGCCGAATGAAGCAACTGCAAACCAAGAAACGGGGTGCTACAGAGTAGTTTACTGTAGGAGGCTGTACGAGGCGATGACAACAGACATGCATCGTGACGTCGGTTACCAAGGCAGTGACGTCATTACAGTGACGTCATGCAAATATTGTACTACAGTACAAAACTCTTCCGCAACCTCTTTATGAAACCGGTTTCGGTTTGAAACCAAAATATTAACAAAAATACGCTATTTTGTCAATTTAATGCATGTAAGACGTGGGTAATAAATAAAATACCACACTCGGTCTCATTACATACGAATTATACGAAACTCGTGACCTTCCTATGTTATCTGACCTCGCTTTCGCTCGGTCAGATACCACAGGAAGGACACTCGTTTCGTATAATTCGTATGTAATGAGACCTCGTGTAGTATTCTCTATATATCTCCTAGCAGATATCGTTTTGACAGTAGATTTTGTACTATGCCCTGACAATGCTATGACGTCATGTACTTGATGACGTCACTATGCTATGACATCGCTGCACTGCAAGTCTAATGGCAGTACCATGTTCAGAGATGTACATTTTTCATTGAAAATTAATGAAGAGTGATTTTGGATGATAAATAGAATCTCACCCTCGTGTCTTCTGATATCAAATATATCAACACTCGTTGATAAAAGTAAAAATATCCTCGGCAAGCCTCGGATATTTGTAACTTTATCAACTCGTGTTGATATAATTGATATCAGAAGACACTTGGGTGAGATTCTCTTTTTATGCTCATGATATAGTCACAATTGTACAATCAACTCTGGCGTTAGCAGAGGTTTCTTATGGATGTGGAATGGGTTCTGTCGCTTCAATTTACACTCTTTGTAATTAATGAAATATGACTGCATGAAACTTGGAATAATCTTGTGTACAAACCAGAAGTTGACAGAACGATTATTGATGAAATGGGCTGCAAAACAGACACACAATAAATGTAGCTTTGGACAATTTTATTGTCAGTAGAAATATATTCGTGTTGGTCAATGGGACAATACAAAACCTCATTTCAAAAGTCACCCAGAAATTCATTCAAAAGAAAAAAGCTCACAAAATGCAGTCCAGAACCAAGTGAAACGAACATTCACAGCTGATTGTTTGATGGGTAGCACTCTCTCCGACAATGATGAACAAGCAGTCAACAACATGGGTAGGTGGTGGCCATTTTACACAGCAGCCATATTGGAAGTACACAACAAGCTGGTTAAACAAATCCTGTGGGTACCACTTCAAAATCATGCCTCATGTCATCAAACATATGCATAGCATTTCATTATAATGAGGAGATGAATACATATATTTTTTTTGTCTTCTGGGGAAAATGCACCAAGTTGTGCAATTCCTGAAATTCCATAAAACCATTCTGTGGTGAGCAATTATGTCTGGGATACATAATACCAGAAACATGATGTAATTCTATTATATGTGTCAACTAAATAATAACATAAAAAGAAAAAGATTAAGTGCTAAAATGAATGAAACTTAACAATGCAAATATTCATCTTAAGAACTATATTTCATACAAATGAATAAAATTGTGCAAACTAAGAACATAAGTGACCATTTTGAAAACTGAGTTCTACAAACTATTATAATTGAAATCCCCACCACCAATAAAAACTTAGCAAAAGTCTAAAACATTTGAAAACGTCCTGCTTTGTATAGTTGAAATGATAAAATAAGACTAACTAAAATATATAATATGCTTTTAAAGTGAGTGTATACCACTGAAATGAAAAATACCAGTAACCAACATTATGCATTAAGACTAATTTATTTCTAAAACCCCCCGAGACACTACAAACTAAAATGAGTATAACTTTCACAGAACCTCAAATAATAATACTTGCATTTGTAAAGAAATAATATTTGTAATTAGTATCAATACTGATGAAATGATACATATACATAAAACAAATAGTGGGGATATTGAAACTGAATAGTGAGTTAGTGTTACACCGCTTTTAGTAATATTCCAGCAATATCACGGCGGGGGACACAAAAAATGGGCTTCACACATTTGAAAATGAATAACGTGAACATGCTGATGTAGAGGTTTTTGTATGAAAATGACAATACACCAAGACATGATATAAACATCTGAAACTTTATGTACATAAACAATCATTCCAACAGTTCTCACACATAATGGACATGAAGACAATCATTTTATTACAAAAATAACAATCTGTATTATGAAACATTTCAGTTTGTTTGCCAGGTTAGAAAGGTGTATATTTCTATCTTTAATAACTTATTGAATGATCTGACAGAGGTACAGTATACAGACAGGGTAATCAAGACTAATTCTTTTAATCACGACAATGAAGATGTTTTAATTGTTGAGCATATACAAATGTATGTGACACACATTTCATGTAGGTCAACAAGAGCTTTGCATTATGCTGATTCAGCACCTTGTGGTTGGATGTGCAAGGTGATGTTTGAGTGCATGCTATGATAATTGGGTGCATCTTAATAATGTTTGTAAGGATGCTCCTGACGTTTGGGGGCATGCAACTGACATTTGAATGCATGCTCCTGACATTTGGGGGCATGCAACTGACATTTGAATGCATGATATTTATAGCTAAATGCATGCTACTCACATCTGAATGCATGCTATTTAAGGCTAACTGCATGCTACTGACACATGCACTGCATGCTATTAATGTAAATGAGTGAGTTTTACGCCGCTCTCAGCAATATTCCAGCTATAGGCAGCGTTCTGTAAATAATCGAGTCTGGACCAGACAATCCAGTGATCGACAACATGACTTTCTCTACAAGACTATAAACAAGACCTTTGACATGCACAAACTCACATATTTCATTACTTTGATCGTGTGGGTTATGTTAAAGTTGCAAGCTGATCAGCTTGTCACTATTTAACCATTTGCTCACATATAACATGAAATTTTCAAGTCTATTAATATTCTAAAATGTTACTGTTATAACGACATTTATTTCCTCCTGTTGGTGAAGCAAAATTGTTACCTGTAGCAATTATTTATAAAATAGATCAACAACAAGAAATGGGTGTGAACAAAAAATATGGTACACGATTCAAAACACAGTGAGTGAGTGAGTGAGTTTAGTTTTACGCCACACTCAGCAATATTCTAGCTATATGACGGCGGTCTGTAAATAATCAAGTCTGGACCAGACAATCCAGTAATCAACAGCATGAGCATCGATCTGCGCAATTGGGACCCGATGACATGTGTCAACCAAGTCAGCGAGCCTAACCACACGAACCCGTTAGTCGCCTCTTACGACAAACATGGGTTGCTGAAGATCAATTTTCTAAAACCCGTTTTTAATGTATATCCTTTACTCTCCCACCTTCAGGTATTTAGGGGATAAATAGCCATTAAAAACATAAAAATTGGGCTTATAAGACAAATTATCAAAACTCCTAACTCTATATCTTTTCACATTGGCAGATCTGTGATCCAACTCAGAAATCTTGATCTAACTCAAGCATGTCTACATTAAAGTTTAGTAATCTGATCAGTGTTCATTCTCCCCCGATATACGAGTTATCCTTATCTTCATCTTCATCAATGACAGATAAAAGCATAATATGAATATACAACCAGCATTCAAATACAAACACACAACCTCAATAAAATATGAACTTAAAAAACAAAACAGCCATTTATTCATTCACAAACAGATGAAATCAATTTTGTCTTTAAAAGACACAAAATCATTTGTATGTTCTCCCACAAATACATTGTTATAAAATTGGAGATTTCTGAAAAGAGCTTCCCATTTTCCCTCTCCTGGATATGCATTGGCTTGAACTTGTCTAAACTAAATCCCATTCTAAATAATGAAAATAGCTCTTTCGTCATATTACATCACCAAGCTAGTATGTACATATATACTAAATATTCACATTTCAAAATATACACCAAGATTTAATACCATTTCTAATTAATACATTCATATGAAATTTACACGCCTAAGAAAACAATTTAGAGCTACTTTTTCATATGTACAAAATGTATGAAAATATTTAGCAAAGCAAAAACCTAGTTATTGTGTTACATAATATGTCCGCTCTAACTAACCATTTGAAGCTCAGAGATACTATTACTACATGAACTGATATGTTTGTGAATAAACAGTTGAAGAAAAAAAGAATGATCTAACAAATTAAAACCTGACCAAATTGAAAACAGGAATCTGTGGGCACATCAACGGAGTGTCACCAACTCTCCCATATGAAACTCACCATCATCATACTTCATGAAAGTAGGGCTGGGACGGGATACCCGGGATGGGCGGGTAATGAGATAGACACGGGTACCCATCTCAATACCCGGACCCGTTATGATCATGTGATCAATAGATTAAACAATGTAATATGTTATATTGTAATAAATTAAAAGGCCTTATTGTCTTTGAAGATATACAATGTAGACATAATTACCGTCAATTCTTTTGAATATAATACATGGTTACAATATTGAAAAACTTGAGGAATATATTTCCATTTCTTACAAATTTGATGTCAGGAATTAAGATAACGGGTATCCGGGTAGGGTAGGGTAATAGGGAATGGGGTACCCAGTTAGAAAATTTGGACCCGTCCCAGCCCTACATTAAAGGCTTCTGTATCAATACGTGTATACTGTTTCATATATTAACCAAATTATTCACACAGTAGGTAACTTTGTAGAAAGAAATGTCAAAATGACAATATTCATGGTTTCAGCAAACCTTGAAAAGACATTCTTCTATACCATCACCAAAATATAAAATAATATCTTCAGGACATTTTAGATGACGATCAGTCAATATCTGAGACAATATGTTTCTGTCTTTGCACATATTCCTATCTTCAATAAACATGAATATTTGACATCAAAATGTGACACAGAAAAAATAATAAGCTTTCATTTTCTCAATTATCCAAACACATTTAAGCATTCTTTTTGAAAGACGATAAAATGGTGAGTTTCATATTGAGAATACTGCATATCAATACATAAATCTGGTGACATCAGAGTATGCTGTTGGTCAAATACCTCTGGTCCATTACTACTAAACATGATCCACTATTAAACATGGTGCTGCTCTGTGCAAGTAAAACGACTGCATACAAAAATGTTATCAATATTACCTTCTGTTCAGAGCAAGCACCATTAGAAACCACTTCAGTTTGGTCTGACATAATCAAATTCATGAAATATCAATCCATGCCGAAAGTCTTCTCTGCACTGTTGACTGACATAACATTCATCACCTTTTTTTCCAAAATTTCCAAACTCTAATTTTTACATATTTGATTTGTGAAGCATGAAAACTGTGGTTATACAAAAACTGCAAATATATTTAATTCAACTCTGATTCTGAGCCAAAACCAATTATCCAATTTCATACACTACTTGAAGTTTGACAGGCCTGTTCCCACTATTTCATGTTGGGATTACCCATTACACTGACTGAGTGATTAGGAATGATTTTATGCCTTTTTCATCAATATTCCAGCAACATCAGGGCAGGGAACATAAAAATGGGCTCCACATTTCGTATTCATGTCCATCTCTTGGAGTGACTGACTGAGTTTTACGCCACTGTTAGCAATATTCCAGCATTATCACGGTGGGGGACACCCGAAATGGGCTTCACACATTGTACCCATGTGGGGAATCGAACCCCGGTCCTCGGCATCTCTTTAAGGTGATTATACATTGATATGTTTTGCAACATTATCCTATCAAAATGAATCCAACACTAAAAAAAGATCAAGTTCATCCTCAAAATGAAAATCCTTTCTATTCCAAAGATATAAACGAAGGTTTTCTAAAGTTTACAGCTCTGTATACAGCTTCCACATGTTATTATTGACAGTGTCATTATGTTTGATAAGTATTAAAACCAGCAGTCTTGATTCAAACTAGGCTTTAAGCCAGATAACAGAATTCGATTACATAAATCATATTTAATAAAATACCAATAATAGCATAAAAACACCACTACTGAGTAACATGAACAAGTTAAAAATAAATAAAAGGAATAGAATAATGATAAAACTGAATATCAAAACTACTACATGCCTGAAGAATAGAAACTGATAACATGACATATACAGCACTTTGTCATAACTGAAGGAAGCATTCAATTTGAAAATGTTTTGTAACTTCTTAAATTCTATCTAGTCATGAGCTAGATTCGTATTTAGATTTGGTTCAATCAATGTATCACAACCATGATCAAATAAAAACATGATTTCAGGTTTATGTCAGTGTTAATGGAAACATAGAGATTGAATTAGGTTTAAATCTATGTCGCTTCTTAGTGGAAGGCAAGATAAAGGTTGAATGTAGTTGTCTCCCTTTGATCACATCCTGAGTGGAATATTCACACATTCTCCACATCAAAAGTCAACAAAAGTTGATAGCGCCATGATGAAAGGAAAAAAAGCAGGAAAAATAACAGATGCTTGCAAATACATGTATAAAAATCCCATATTATGACAAACGTTGAAATCAACCATGTCATTGTCTGTGACTGACATGTAATGAGTGTTCATTTTGATGTTAATTTCACTGTCATCTATTTCATAGATGTCCATGTTACTGTTGCACCATGATGTATATTTCACTACTGCCATCACTGTGGCAATGTTTGTGGATGACAGAATGATGTCACTCTCTTTGTGAAATGAGCATGTGAGTGATTGTCAATCATTGTCACACCTCCGCAGGTTCCATCTCATCGCCTCCTTTTCGCTTTGTCAATTCATTCAAGGCTTTGCTACTGTCTTGGATGTACACCTGAAACCAATTAACATGGAAAATTAGTATATATTTAAACACCTAACATTTATGTGACTTTAGAAATTGATTTATTCCACCCATACATCACATGACGTTTGAAATATACTGAGAGAAACAAATAACGAAACACAGGAAAATTCAACCGTTACTTTAATATTTTCCAGTTTTCATCACCATCTTTGAATAGCGCTGTGGGAGAAAATCTGAGAATAAATAGAGGAACACATCATGAAGTGGTGCTCCCTTGTTTCCCTCAGTATATACATGTGAGTGATTATTGACATTCAACTACTTACGCATATCAGTAGCATGATGGGACATTTCAGTATTTGTTTGTATTTGTGTGTCTGTAGCAGTTTATACTTGTCACAGGGGGACACAAAGAATGTGATCTAAACTACCAGTCAGTTGTCAGGCTCACATTTTTGAAGACGCTGTGGGTTAGATCACTGACTTTCTGTGCTGGCAATTAAGTGCCTGACTCTTAAGAGTGTGGGTTCAAATCCCGGATGGGAGTCAACCCCCAAAAGTAAGGGAAGCAGTTTGTGTGTTTGTTTCAACACATTTCTCTAGATCTCCAGGGATGTCATTTCCGTAAAGGTACTCTAAGCCCTGGATCCATTCTGGTAGTTCTCGCAATCTCAAATTACCTTCCCTCAACAATATGGTGGCCAGTTTCATTGATTACAATACAGTCTGAAAGAAATTCAACATTGAAAAACTGACTGGCACACATAGAAGGGATGTCTTCTTGTTCGTTCAAACTGGCAGTGGCAAGTCCTCTCATATTCATTTCCTTTTTCTATATGTCAACATTTGATTGGTCAGTGAAATGTTAAAGACAATCAAGGGCAGGTAATTTGAGATCTTAAGAAGAGTACCAGGTGTTGATGTAAGCCCTGGAGATATACAGGATGGTGACAACACTGAACTGTGCAATATTCCAAGTATACAACGGCTGTCTGTACCGCGCGTCCGGTAATTCTGCGCAGCTGCAATAGCGTACTCCCGTACGAAGGTAAACATTGTCTGCTACCACATTTACGCTTGAAATCGGGACATTTCTATAAGGGACTGGCTTTTAATCACTAAAGGTAAGTAAATAACAGTAATTGACAGATAAATTGACAGTTTTAAAACCTTTCTCTTCATTATTCATAATTGGATTTAACACGAAACACTCTTCCTTACATTGATGAAGTGATTTTTGAAAATAATCTTGCCCTAATAAGCTTCCATCCTTCGGATCACCAGCTGGATGTTATGCGCATCAGTTGCTGCGTAGAATTACTGGACAGCAAGCGATGTCATCAGAACGCCGGTAAGGTCAAACGTATGGCATAATACAAAGTTTTTAAGAATCTTATAGTCGTCAATAAAACATATATTTCTAGGTAAATATGATGCATACCAGCATGTTTAGTCACGTAAACCACAAAAAATAAGGGCCATTAGTTGCCGTGTTGCGATCAATGTGCTTAGGTGCGTGGGATTACCGGACGGCATTGTAATCAAGTCAGTACCAAGTAATCCAGTGGTTGAAGTAATAAGCTTCAATCTACTCAAATAGGATACAATGACATGCATAAACCTTGTCAGCTATGCTTGTTAGAAAGCTTTATTGGGAATGTGATGCTTACAGTGGCTTGGGCTATGAGCACATGGCCATGAACAGGATGTCAGATGAGAGTGATCCCCCTTAGTATGTACTGCTAACCTACAACTAGTAATAATAATAATAAATAATAATACAACGCTTAGTGAGCAATAACTTTCGGGTGCGCCTAGTGGCTGCTGTTGGCCGTTGAGATTGACACATGTTACAAGGCTGACCAGTCAATTCTCATTGTCAACTCTTACAACAAGCATGGACTGCTGAAGACAGATTCTCACTCTGATAACCACACCCAGTATTGACCTACCATGAGATCCTTGCTGGCAAAGAAGGGCCTCTCTGGTGACCCATCGTTCATATCACAATCTTCACAGAAACACAACAGCAGTGCATCAATCACCATCTGAAATGTACAAAAACAGCCCATCAGTGTCGGCCTTGTCTGGTGGTTTACAATGTCACGTGATTCAAACAGCAAAATAATTTCTGAAAGTCAAAGCTGCTGACTTGTTTTCAGAAAGACTCATTATAAAGAGATTTATTATAAAATTTTACCCAAATCACTACTTTGCCAGTCAACAGCAGTCAGTTTCAGACATCACACAGTTGTAAATTTAGTCTCTCAAAATCTTGTTAATTAATCAACTGTCAGGGGCGTAGCTACCATTATAAAAAAAGCCAGGGCTTACACATGATTATTGCTAAAACGGTTGGGCAAGCACACAATACTATCTAAATGTAAAGCTTTGCAACCTATCTGGCATACACGAAATAATTGGCTTGCTATGCGCCGGACTGTTGAGCAAACATTTTGAATGAGTGAGAATGGTTTTCTATTATTCAATATGCAGCAATATTCAAACAATAACATAGCAAGGGAATGGGCTTCACACATTGTAACAATGTGGGGAATCAAAACAAAGTCTTCTGTGTTACAAGTGTATGCTTTAACTACTAGGCCACCAAACTACCCAATGCAAATGGAAATGAATCTTCTCACGTAGACATAAAGTGCCTGTTGGAACCTAATCTGTTGGAATATTTACTGAGTTTCACCAGAGTTGAAATCTTACACAGAATCACTGTTCATTGAAAAACACGGACAGGAGGCATTAACCAAAATATTATCTTCTTAAACACTTCCATATTATCAAGACCTGGTCAAGTTTCTCGGATGTAATAAGACGCCTATCTCAAGTCCAGATCAACTATGTTTCATGATCCTTAATTTCTTCAAAATATGTGTTTCTGATTGACATTTACATCAAGTTCATCCTCCTGAGGCAGATGTTATATCAACTTGTTTGTGTCTGTCTCATATGTGAGGTTTTTCAGGCTTGTAAAATACAACTACATGCGGCATCAATAATGCAACATGATACACTTCACAACATAACCAGCTGAGTGAACTACTTTCATTGTTTCTCAAACCCCAACAGATGAATGAGTGAACTACTTTCATTGTTTCTCAAACCCCAACAGATGACTGAGTGAACTACTTTCATTGTCTCTCAAACCCCAACAGATGACTGAGTGAACTACTTTCATTGTCTCTCAAACCCCAACAGATGACTGAGTGAACTACTTTCATTGTCTCTCAAACCCCAACAGATGACTGAGTGAACTACTTTCATTGTCTCTCAAACCCCAACAGATGACTGAGTGAACTACTTTCATTGTCTCTCAAACCCCAACAGATGACTGAGTGAACTACTTTCATTGTCTCTCAAACCCCAACAGATGACTGAGTGAACTACTTTCATTGTCTCTCAAACCCCAACAGATGACTGGAGTGAACTACTTTCATTGTCTCTCAAACCCCAACAGATGACTGAGTGAACTACTTTCATTGTCTCTCAAACCCCAACAGATGACTGAGTGAACTACTTTCATTGTCTCTCAAACCCCAACAGATGACTGAGTGAACTACTTTCATTGTCTCTCAAACCCCAACAGATGACTGAGTGAACTACTTTCATTGTTTCTTAAACCCCAACAGATGACTGAGGGAACTACTTTCATTGTCTCTCAAACCCCAACAGATGACTGAGTGAACTACTTTCATTGTTTCTTAAACCCCAACAGATGACTGAGTGAACTACTTTCATTGTTTCTCAAACCTCAACAGATGACTGAGTGAACTACTTTCATTGTCTCTCAAACCCCAACAGATGACAGAGTGAACTACTTTCATTGTCTCTCAAACCTCAACAGATGACTGAGTGAACTACTTTCATTGTCTCTCAAACCTCAACAGATGACTGAGTGAACTACTTTCATTGTCTCTCAAACCCCAACAGATGACTGAGTGAACTACTTTCATTGTCTCTCAAACCCGAGTGACTTACCTCATACACCGACAAAAAGCTGTGAGCAACAAAGTATGCAAATACACAAACAAGCAGTACAGGAATGGCGAAGAAGTGAAGATCAGTGCGGCTCTGAAACAGAAAAAAAACATAAATTATCATGACGTAGATATGTGGCAAAGACTGCATGGTAGTGAATGTCTCCTGTCACAATCACCAGCATGAGCATCGATCTACGCAACTGGGACACGATGACATGTGTCAAACAAGTCAGCAAGCCAGACCACCCCATCCCGTTAATCACCTCTTATGAGTGAGTCAGTATAATTTTACACTGCTTATAGCAATATTCCAACAATATCACGGTGAGGGACACCAGAAATGGGCTTCACACATTGTACCCATGTGGGGAATCGAACCCAGGTCTTCAGCGTGATGAGCTAACGCTTTAACCACTAGGCCAACCCACCGCCCCTCTTCTATTTATGACTGTCATGTAATTATACAAAACAAATAAGGGAATCACACCTTGCAACAAAAGTAGGGCTTCTACAACAATTTTTCTAAAAGAGTCCAGAAATAGAATGTTACAGTTAGAACACAAGAGGATTACCTTCAACCACATTATTCCAACAGCAGCTGTAGCACCCATGACGCCAAGTTTCCCAAGGAAGAGCATGAAATCCCCTATACTGTTGATGGCTGCCACTCGTAATGAGTTGCTCACCAAGATTATAAAAGCCTGGAGAACAAAACAGAACATTGTGCGAAATACATATCATATCATCATCATCATCATCATCATCATCATCATCATCATCATCATCATCATCATCATCATCATCATCACAGTGAATGATACAGTTAAATAACCATAAGGAACATCCTGCCTTTCATGTAGACAAATACAGTTTCATAAGTGGATAAATCCATATTTAATTATTTGTGATTTAAATTGTACTATACATATCCTGGATTGGAGCATTTGTGGCCGAATTTGTTATGTTCAAAGAGAGACAATCTGTACTGAGTGAGTGAGTGAGTTGGGTTTTACGCCGCTTTTAGCAATATTCCAGCAATATCGCGGTGGGGGACACCAGAATGGGTTTCACACATTGTACCCATGTGGGGAATCGAACCCATGGGCTTTGGCGTGACGAGCGAACGCTTTAACCACTAGGCTACCCCACCGCCCTATCTGTACTATGATTGTTTAAAACATTGAATTAATTTTTCAATAAATCATTAATTTACCACGTCTAGAACTTACTGAACCAGTGTAAGACTGTTTACATGGCATAGACAAAGCCCATTAACAATTATCAATAACTATGTCTAGATACAAATTATCATGATAAAAAAACACTTACTCTCTTTGCTGATTTGCAGAAATTTTTACCACTAATAGCTGCAAAGAGAAAATAGAGGATATTGATAGCTATACTCAATATCAGAATATGTCTTGCAGAAATAGCGCACCATTGTGTAACATGCATGTAACTTTCACTAGGAGGAGGGGAATCAATTTATTGACATTCGGAGTTCATTAGTGGCGACTGTGTAAACCAGAGGCCTTGCTCAAGATATGATCATACTCAACAAATAGCAAATTTGGACAACAAGTTTGCATCGTATTCCAGAATGAGGTTAATCATGAATAAGGTTTCTTTTGTAGAATCCATTTTGGGGGTGTTTTTTATATTAAATTTAATTTAAACTGAAAACTCTGTGACAGCCCATTGCATGTTTGTATAGCCTGTGTCAAACTGACTCAAGAGATACCCAAATGGGGATCCCATATGTATCAGTGACAACACTGCTGTTGCCATGGTTTCATCAGAAAGGAAACAATGACAACGATGCATTCCGAAAGCAAAATGGTAATATTCAATATACTAGTGTGTACACATTTATGTTGAATATTAACCAACAAGGTGAAAACTAGGTGGAAACAAAACATGGGTTAACAAGACCACCCAGAGTCTGCAAAAATGTCAGAAATTAATTGTAAATTGCCTCCGTCATTTTCACTGTAGTCATAGTTTTATGGGTTTTCAGATTTGTATTTCAGACATGGAACAGATAAAAGTTAAGTTTGCTTGAGCATCAGACCATATCACTTCCTGACTTCACTGCAATCAAATTGGAATGAGACCATCTATAGGGCTGGCTATCGGATAGAGATCGGTGATATTGATAATAGTTAACTGAATATTGACTGATTATCGATAAATATCGATAAAATAAGAAGTCTGAAAGAAAGAAATATACTTCACACCACTGGTGAGAGGTGACATGTTTATACATGGGTTACTAACAAAAGAGCGTCATAAACATAATTTAGAGTGAGTGAGTAAGTATGGTTTTTAGCCGCTTTTAGCAATATTCCAGCAATGTCACGGCGGGGGACACCAGAAATGGACTTCACACATTGTACCCATGTGGGGAATCGAACCCGGGTCTTTGGCGTGACGAGCGAACACTTTAACCACTAGGCTACCCCACCGCCCCACATAATTTAGAAGAAGCCCATAAATAAAATCATAACTCTGTGTACCGATATTGTGTGAATGAATTAAAACTTACAAAAGTTTATGGACAATATTATCGATGACACTTTTTTCATATTTATAATGATAAATAATTTTTCCTATCAACGATATTTCCCGATTATCGAGCTTTTTAGCCAGCTTAAATGACATAGAATTCAATGAGATATTAAAATATCATCATTTTTCAAAACTAGACAACAAAAGTATACGCTCAATACAAGGATGTACACACTAACCTATAAAGTTGGATATTCAATATTTGGGTGGACAATACTGACCAAAAAGGACATACATTTAATATTAGGACAGACAATACTGCCCAACAACTGCAAATATTTATTACATAGGAAGACGATACCTTCCCAGAAGGATGTATAGGATGAGCAATACTTACCTACAGCAATGTATCTTCAATATTTGGGTATACAATACTGACCAAAAAGGACATATGTTTGGTATTATTTAATACTGCCCTTCAGTATATAGGCAGACATACTTACCTACAAGGGTGTACGCATTAGCATTTAAGTATTTGAGGCACTTCTCCACACACCACAGACAGCAGATGCAGCACTTCATACAGAACTGGGCACAACTGTTCTCTGAAGTTTTTAATCTGAAATATAAAACATCCAGCATTTGCAGGTGAAAGAATATCTTTTACCTGAGACCATATAATATTATATGGTCTCTGCTTTTACATAGAAGTTAGTTACTGTGATGGGATAAACACAGCTTGGATCTATATTTCATGTCAGTTAGTTTATTGTTGATGAGGCTTTTAACAGGTGAAATCCACTAGCATTGGTATGGAGTTGACAACCCTAGCATCACAAGAAGAACCTGATGATCAGCTGATCGTGGCACAACTTAGGGATACAACTCTGTAAGTTACAGTGAGTACCAACTTACTTCTTATTTTATTCACAATGAATGAATAAATTGTCCTTTTTGGGGTCTTAATTAAATTACTTATTTTAGTGTTATTCATCTATTTATTTACTTATTTTTTTATAATTATCCTCTTTTTCTATATTTTATTTTATTTATTTATTTAGATTTATTTATTTATTTATTTAATTTGGATTATCTTTTTTATTTATTTATTTATTTATTTATTTATTTATTTATTTATTTATTTATTTATTTATTTATTTATTTATTTATTTATTTATTTATTTAATTTGGATTATCTTTTTTATTTATTTATAATGTCCTGTACAATGCATATACATCATTACTTACATCATGCATACCTCGTGTATTATCTCTACAGGAACATAAAAAGAATAATAAAAAATAAATCATTAAATCATATATGCAAATTAACTTGCTTAAATGTAAAAATAATTTAGTGTGAAAAACAAAAACAAACAAACTTACTTCTTATTTAAGTACATGAGAATCATCCTAGGCAGCTTGATGAGCGTGATGATGAGCGACCCCAGCGCCACGGAGCCAAGGTGGTAGATAACGAGACGACCGATGGACACGCAGATTGCACAGTTTATAGACTCTTTGTCCCTGCAATAATAATAATATATTATCATCATGGGATTAGAACTCATGAAAAACAAAATTGCAAACTGAAGCCTGCCTATGATGGGATGAAGAGGAATGATTTGATGGACTGACAACATTTTATATCAATAGATACAACATAACAGATAATCCATAAAATTGGTTCCTCGTCATCAAACCAGCTTCTAAATGCCACTTAAAGAAATTATATCTGGGATTCCAAATGACACGCCTTGTGCAAAGGTACAAAATAATTATTTTGTGCAAAATTGGGATTTAAACAAAAATATTTAAAGCATTAATTATTTCGTGGTTGCATTCATAACCTTTTTGCAGGTTCTCTTACAACTGAAACACAAATCAGTTTCCAAAAGATATTTATTTGTTATCACCACATGAATATAACTTTGGAATTTCTTTATCCAAATTTGGAACATTTACTGGCATTGGTTGCAGACTGTCAGAGATTCATGCAACAAAGTCACAAAAGGGAGGTAAGTTAGAATACGTCATTACTTCAATCCGAAAGAAACTATCAAAACAGTGCACCATGTTCCAATAATAGTTGAACAATCCTACTCCTTCATTCTATTTCGGATTTCAGCTAGATCAATTTCTTTTCTTGGCTAAAGATAAAAAAAGAAGCCCAACAAAATCAATTCAACACTATGTATAATGGAGGAATGCCTTACACAACAGGTCGAAAGATAGCCATTTATAGAAATAGAACATCTTTTTTATTACAGAGGTGTCTCCGTTTTTCATAAAACATACACTTATCATGAACATTTGGTTGATCTAGTCAATTTATGATTGTCATTAATTCTTCTTACCTTGTAAAGTACCAAGTCGCCACAGCTCCGGAGATAACAAGCTGCTGACAAGCAATGATAAACTCGCTCGTCCACAGCAGCCCGATCACGTGGTACCACCAGAAATACGACACGTTTTCATGTTCAATGTACTCCACGAACTGTGTGCTCTTGTTTATTGAAACTTTTTCTGAAACAAGAAGCACAAATGTGTTAACATTATACACATCTTTGAATAAGTGTCATTTTATTACTATCGGTTCTAAGTATCTGAAGGTGAAGAGAGCATCATTAAACACATAGGTCTACTGGGTCCCTTCTTGGGTTGGTCATGACAGTGGACACTAAAAACGAGTTTATAAAATTGTAACCATGTGGCAAAATGAACTTGTTGTTTGTAATGATGACTTTGGTAGAGCCTGAGCTTATATGTGAATCTCAGGATGATATGTGAATCTCAGACTGATACGTGAATCTGAAGCTGATACATGAATACAGGTTGATATGTGAATCCCAGGCTGATATGTGAATCTATCTAGACAAAGAGACTCTCTGCTATACACCTCTAAAATGTAATTTTTAGAGTAAAATTGATATTTTATACTTATCCTGACTCATGCTCTTTTGCTTGTCTTCTTTCAAGTAACATAGTGGAACACTTGTATCTCCTTATTTGAAGCTCCCTTCAAAATAAAATCACTAATTGGTACTCACCACACGCAGTAGCCTCCCTTTGTCTCCCCTTGGCGGAAAGGTGTCGCCACCTTCGCCCATGTGCTTCACTCTCTCCTGATTTTATGAGCCCAACACTTGGACTTACAGGGAAATCCAAAGTGTTATGTGGGAGGATGGAGGAGTTAACCTCATGAGTCAGGATAAGTATAAAATATCAATTTTACTCTAAAAATTACATATTTTTCCTTATCCTGACTCATGCTCTTTTGCTTGTAGCATCCTACGGAACGGAGGTGGGAGTAACAGAATACTTTGGATTTATAATTAGTGATTTTGTATAGATATACTGTAATATCCCCTACGGGAACTTCATGAAGGCTTAGATTTAGGATGTTTCCTGTATAAAAACCATAGGTTATATAAAGCCATTAAAGGGGAATTACATTATGAATATATTGAACAATACATATAATATATATATATATATATAGGTGACTCTGATAGAGGCACTGAGATAGAATATATCAAAAAGTATGTGCTTAAGGTTGAATAACTTAAGCTGAACATATATACATAGCCCTAAAACTCCGTAGAGTTATAAGCTAGATAAGTATGTATAAAATACATATTAATCTTGTGAGGATAATATTTTAACGCCTACGAGGGACTGTCAGTTGCTGAGCGAGGACCAGTGGTCCGAAATGGTGAATGCCAGAGACATCTTCTGTAGTGATGTCTCTCAGGTAGTGATTAGCAAATACCATGTTAGATTTCCAATAGCATCCTTCCATAATCGTGTTCAAGGAACAATTACCGTAGGGCTTAGGGTGGAGGCCAGTGCCCTGATCTCATGTGGATTTGATGCTGTTGGTGGGTCCAAGCCTGCTGCCTTGTAGGCACGGAGAATGACAGTCCTTATCCAAATAGATATTGTGATCCGTGACACTTCTGTTTGATTCAGAGGCTTATAAGGGGATGAATAAACGCTTGAGAAATCTTCTCCTTGTTTTGGATCGTCAGAATAAACTTTGAGCTCTTACTGGACACAGTGATAGGTCTTGTGTATCTTGTGATCCGAGAATAGAGGATAGCCGGATGTGGAATAATCTGTCTGGTTGACCTGGCAGTTGATTTTTTGGCGATGAAATCCCATCTTAATCCGAGGTGCGCTGTGTTATGATTGTCATCAAACTGTATCCTCTCTCAGAATCCAGAGCGTGAATTTCAGACACATTCTTGCTCTAGAGATAGCAGAAACAGTGTTTTCTGTGAGAGAAATTCAAAAGTTGTCGATTCCAAGGGTTCATAGACCTCACTCGCGGAGGTGTTGTAACACTACATTCAGATCCCAAGCTGGGCGTGGAACTTCCGCTTTGGTCCTCCAATCGAATGCTCGTAGTAAGGCCAGTAACTCTGGAGATCTTGTCAATTTGACACCCGCTCTCATGGTGATTACAGAACTAAGCCGCAAGATATGTTGATATCGCTGAACCCTTTTAAATGTTTGTTTTGGCGCAGGTAACACAAATAGTCTGCCACTTGAGGTTGTGAAGCCTCTTGCTGTAAACCCTTTCTTTGCTGCATAATTTTCTAAACTGTGCCACTTGTCGCCGCATTGCAAGTTACGAAGTTGAGTAACGAAGGCAAGCGTGACTGCTTTTGCCGCCTGGCAGAATATCCTCTCTTGTTTAAACACATTTGTATACAGTCCATACGTAGTTGGAACATTGCTGGGTTTCCGCACTTGTTTGGTGTGAGGATGAATTAACAGGTTTTGGCGCTTTGGGTAGCTCCAGTGTTGGTTGACCGATTTCTTGAATTAGTATGGGAAACCACGCTCTGGCCGGCCAGTAGGGCCACCAAAGTGAGTTGTAGGCTCTGTGTTTGTCTGATTTTCTGTAATACTTGAGGTATTATTGCTGGCGGCGAAACGCCAGACGCATTGAGGCCTTCCCATGATAGACTTAGAGCCGTCCGCTGCCCAAGCTTGGGGGTCTGGGACTGGTGACACTAATGTCGGTAGCTGATTGTTGAATCGCGGGCTTAATAGGTCTATTAGCGGCGCCCTAATTGCTTGATTATCTGTGCAAAAATTCCCTGTTGATCATCCACTCTGTCGGTGATGGTAGATGAGGCCGAGAGAGAGCCGCCTGCTAGTATATTTCTGGCTCCGAATGTGCACTGCTCTGACATGTAGATTTAGATCTTGTATTAAATCAACAGTTGAAAGCTTAGGTTCAAAAGGTTCATCGATCTCGCTGAGCCTTGCTTGTTTATGTAGAACGCCACTGTCTAATTGTCTGTATGGATCATTAGGTGCGATTTTGTAGAAATGTGCTCCAATGTAGAATGGCGCTGATTACAGCTTTCATTTCTAGACTGTTTATATGGAGTTTGCCTTCTTGCTGATTCCATAATCCTGATATCGCGGTGGTTGGTGAGATGAGCTCCCCAACCTTGGAGTGACGCTGCCTACATACAGATGGGTTTTGTATTCCTGCTCTGCTAAACAAATCCTCTTCGCAGACATTCGATTTCTTGGTCCACCATAGTAGATGAGGTCTGAGATGTTTCGTAGACTGAATGGTTGTACATCGCTGAGATGTGCGCTGATGAGGACCTGTAGGGGACGAACTGTAATCTGCCTGTGACAGTCATGTCTTGGGCTGATGTGAGAAGACCTAGTAGGCTCTGCCATTGTCGAAGCGGTAACGGAGAGAGTAGAGCTGGTGGAATGGTCTGTTGTATCTTGAGCCAACGGTCTTCTGGTACCATAATACGGTTGCGATTTGTGATGAATCAATACCTAGGAACTGCAGGTCTTGGCGATGGTACTAGGTCCGACTTTGTGTAAGTTTACTAACCAACCTAGTTGTGTTAGTAGCTTTATGATGTAATTTAACTGTAGTTTGAGACTCAGTGGATCTTGATCTACTTGTATCCCGTCGTCGAGGTAAAACGCACTGCATGCGTAGCCCCTTGACGATGTAGAAATATGATAATCGGTTTCGCGTTATATCCTCGTGAATAGCCAGGGGCTGATGATATTCAATGGGAGTACTTTCCACTGGTAATGTAGCCCTTCTAGAGTAAATCGTAGGTATTTCCTGGAATCGGGATGAATGGGGATGTGCAGGTAGGCATCCTGTAGATCTATGCTGCCCATGTAGTCCATAGGATCTAATCATCTGGCGTGAACTGAGGTAAATGTATCATGCTAAACTTCGTGGTTTTGCGAGATAATTCTTGTTGAAAAAGCTCATGTTGTAGATGAGTCTGTATTTTCCGCGGGAGTTTTTCTTGGGAACTAGGAAAACTGGGGAGTAGAAACCTGGTTCGACGCTTATGCTGATCTATTACTTCTATGGCCTGTTTGGATAGGAGTGATGAAACAGCCTCTCTTATCTTTGGTAGTTGTTGCGCTTTGTAAATCGAACTTGGGGGTTTGATTGTCAGCGGAGGCTTGGCCTGTAGTGGGATACTTAAACTGTGTTGAAGAATGTTGGAGACGAAGGGTCTTGCAATATTCCCCAGTTTTCCCAGTGTAGTTGGAGAGGCCCACCCACTTGAGCTGGCTGTACTGGAACGGCTGGGGTGGAAGACTCCAGTCGTTCAACCTGTGTTTCAGCTGCCTATAATTGCGGAACCTCTGGGTGTCCTGCCTCTTCCTGATCCTCCTCTATAGTTGCCATATGGGCTTAATTTAAAAGAATCTTTACCTCTAGAGCTGGCTATCTTCCTGTCTCTTGCTCTTTGTAGGCCCGTGAACTTAGATCTGCCTGAGTATCTTTGTGAAGTCTGATCTAATGACGCTGGCTAGTGTGTCCATCGATTTAATCATAAGGACTTCCCTGGAATCCTTAGAGACTTCCTTGGCGACTTTGTCGATTTCTCCGCCAAAGATGGATGTTGTCGACCACGGGCTGTATAAAGTGGGGCTGTAAAGTTCTCCCCAATTACAGGAAGCGAGGAGGCCTTGACGACGAAGCTAAGGTCAGTGCTGCTGAAACAGATGTAAGATGATCCGCTAAAACTGCTGATCTTTCTTTGCATCAGTAAGGCAGAGTAAATCATTCTATCATCTTCCGTCGTGGAATCCCGAATCTAGTAATAAGAGTCTCATTGATCGCCCTAGATCTATTTAACCCAAAGAACATACGCCTCGCCATGGTTTCTATATGAGCCAACTTGCGCATCATCCATCTTGTAAATCTTGTTCTTTACATCGCTGATGATCTTATAGTTCTCATCGATGTCCTGGGCCTTGTAGAAGGAGTCCATGTTATCGCGTGGAGAACTTCTTGGCATGAAAGTTGGGCAGATGTGGTGTCTGAACTTTCAGAGCTTTCTGGAAAGCTGCATCTAGATTCTGTGGCACTGCCGCAATCGGGTCGATCGGGGTAAAGTTATTGCATCTGGATCGCCTTCCTTCATCAAATACGCCTCTGCTGTATTGCCACTTTTAGATGGTGATTTGAGATCTAGGTTATTGACCATCCAATACCGTGATCTCTGCATCAGAAAATATGATTCCTCCATCATCCTCAATACCATCATCATTAACAAATTGTAGATGCTCTTCGACCGCGTAGCTGTCTGTATATCTGATGAGGTTTGTGGCGCATCTAGTTGACTTGTGCGCCGCTTCTATGTGGAGATCTGACGGGTGATCGACCTGGTGATGAACGAAGTGGAGATCGTCTATGGGATGATCTTCTCGGAGACTTGTGAGGTGAATGTTGATAGCTTCGCGAAGCTCTTCTATAGTCCCTCGATGTTCTTCTAGATGATGAGGATCTGGAATCATATGTCCTTCGCGAATGCCTTCGCGAAGCTTCATTTGCGTCCGGTCCGGGGGATCGATGATATGACCTTCGCGAAGGCCTCCGTGATGTCTGATGGTCCGAGTCCATATCTAGAGATGAAATCGAAGATGGTGATGATCTATCCCGCCTTCGCGAAGGCTGTACATCTAGGTCCTTCGTCAAGGTGGTCCGGGACTTCCTTCGCGAAGGTGACATCGTCTTGGCTGCTACGCTGACGGGGTGCCTCTGGGTGTTGTGTCACGTTGGAGCCTTCGCTGGTTGCTCGACCCTGCTTACGCAGTTTGTAGTGGTCCTCCATGATGTTCATAATCTGCCGCATCATGTCTTCTGGGATGATCTGTGACGAAGTCGTCGGCGTCTTTTCTGCGATGGGGTTCACATCAATAACGTCTGACGTCGGTGTAGAGGCATCAGGCTGCATGGTGATCTCTGCAGAAGTCACAGTCGCTGACACCGGTCGCTTCTTCTGCCGTAAGTCGGGGATGATTAACGGCTGATCATCGTAGAGGCCCAATTCTGCTGCTGGAACGATCTAGGCTGAGAAAGTTCTCGCTGTCTTCGTAGATTTCCCTTTGGAAGTCTGCGCTGCCCTGGGTGTCCTCAATCTGCGTTGAGACGACGATGAGGCCCTCTTAGACTTGGTCTGCAATGACGGGATGTCTGGGGAGGCCGGTTGTTTCTTCGAGGTAACGGACTGCGTCCCACGTTCCTCTACCGTAGGGGTCTCTAGCAGAACACCAGACGGGAGAGGGTCGATCGCTAGCAGCTGACTGGATGGAATATCTGGACTCTCTGCCATGTTTTGCCCTTGTTTGCGTGATCTATCTGCAGCACGTCTTAAGACGCAAAGATGATATTTATTAAATGCAGAATGAGATAAATTAATGCAGTAACTGCAACGTGAATTAAACGCACATGGCGTAGAACAACTAGGGCATATTACATGTGGATCGGAGGCAGAAAAACGTAATCTACAAATCGTACAGATTTTCATCAATGTAAAGCTAGCTGAACAATCACGAATACACGTGAATAAACAGGAGAAATACGATAATTAATCAATACAAATAGTAAAGGATACTAGCTATACCTCTATAGTAACCTATGAGAGGTAAAACTAAGAGATTATCAAAGGATATGGTGTGTAAGGAGACACGAGGCGCTCTCACATCCTGCTCACTGGGCGAAGAAGGAGAGAGTGAAGCACATGGGCCGAAGGTGGCGACACCTTTCCCGCCAAGGGAGACAAAGGGAGGCTACTCGTGGTGAGTACCAATTAGTGATTTTATTTTGAAGGGAGCTTCAAATAAGGAGATACAAGTGTTCCACTATGTTCGCAAGAAGAAGAAGACAAGCAAAAGAGCATGAGTCAGGATAAGGAAAAATTAAACCTTTTCAAGAATGAGGCTGAGATTTGACTTTTATACCTCCACTGAAATGAGATAGACTTCAATGAATGGCGCCTTCCACCAAGCAATAAACATCGCTACAGGTGTAATAGATGACCTTTTCATCGCCTTCATTTCAAACGAGAGGAAGACTAATATTGACCAAACTTTTTTTCCAGCGTGCTAAAAGCCCTTAATTGCAACTCAAAAGTATATAGAGACTTGCTCTGCACTTAACATGGCGCTTAGTTCAATACGATATTTTCAGGGCAAGTTTTTGTTCAGGACAAAACAAACAGAGTGAGACACAGATAGAGCCAACTTTCATCTTCTCTAATGACGGACATGCACATAGTGTTATTAATTACATATGGAAGAAGGTGAGGGTCACATACACTTCAGGCTCTAACTGAGTAACCGAAACTGGGTTAGGTCAATTGAACATTGCTGGAAAATATGTGTGATGAATGAACACTGCTGCTCACTCGGAAAACATTGATAGCATCTATGATGGACCTAGTTGGAAGGGGAATCAGCTTTCTGATTTGTAGAACCATGAGTACTTGTGGAGCACATATTCAAAGGTTGTGGAAATATCTTAAGTCTCTTGAATCAGTTATCGTAGAGTGAGCGGGTTGATGAGTGAGTGGTTGAGAAAGTGGTTGAGTGAGTTTACTTTTACGCTGCACTCAGCAATATTCCAGCTTTATGGCGGTGGTCTGTAAATAATCTAGTCTGGACCAAACGATCCAGTGATCAACAACATGAGCATTGATCTATGCAATTGGGATACGATGACATGTGTCAACCAAGTCAGCGAGCCTGACCACCCGATCCTGTTAGTCACCTCTTACGACAAGCATGGGTTACTAAAGACCAATTCTAACCCCCGGATCTTCACAGGTCAGTTAGTGAGTGAGTTGGTGAGAGTGTAATTGAATTGGTTGAGTGGTTTAGAGAATGGTTAAGTGATAGGGTGAGTGAGCTAGCGTCATTCAGAAATAATTTCACCTTCAGAACAATACTGCATACATTTCACAAATTCTAAATTTCTAAATTCTGTTTAATGCTGCACAAAAACGGATTTCAGCTTCCATAACACCTTCAACAGCATCTGAACCATACTCCAATCACATAGATGCTCTTTGGTTCAAAAATGGCTTTTGAGAAATTCTAATGTGGGTGAAATTGGCAATATAAACCCACAAACGGCAGTGAGTGTCTATGTCCATCTAATCCCCTTTAGAGACTTAAAAAAGAAGTTCACTGAGTCAATGTAGGAATACAGACAATAATATATACTTCTATCTGCTGTGGGAATATTGATTGGAAACAAAATGGGTTATTTAAAAGCCATTTACAGCACATGTATCACACAATGTCCATTTCACTTTGTGTCCATTATTGATCACAGGGTGTATTTTAAACCCAGCATAACAGTTCATCATATACTACACAGGCATGTGGGATGTATTTCATATCATGCTAAACATTCATTACATGGCGAATATACTTTTGTATACAAACATGTAACATGGTGTTGATTTCACCAATTTACTACATAGACAAATATGACATGAGGCTATTTTCACTTTAAAATCATTTTTGAAAACATGTATTTATATATCTATACATTTACAAAGACACATGATACAAGCCATATCTATATAAAACTTTATTGAAATGGTGTAGATTTCACTAACTTTCTACACAAACACATAACATGTAATGCATACATTTCATATAATATAAACATTCATGAAATGGTATACATTTCATGTTGCCAGTAAACAGTGCTGATATGTTGTACATTTCGCCCACTTACTCCACAGACAGGGATGATATCATGTATATTGCACTCACCGGCTGTCACCAGATATAATGGTATACATTTTATGTTGCCAGTAAACATTGCAGATATGTTGTACATTTCACCCACTTACTCCACAGACAGGGATGATATCACGCATATTGCACTCATTTGCTGTTGCCAGATGTAATGGTATACATGTTATGTTGCCAGTAAACATTGCTAATATGTTGTACATTTCGCCCCCTTACTCCACAGACAGGGATGATATCATGTATATTGCACTCATTTGCTGTTGCCAGATATAATGGTATACATTTTATGTTGCCAGTAAACATTGCTAATATGTTGTACATTTCGCCCCCTTACTCCACAGACAGGGATGATACCATGTATATTGTACTCACCTGCTGTCGCCAGATATATGAGCACTATGACCCAGTAGACAAAGAAGATGAGGAGGATGAAGAATGTCCAGATGGGCTGTGCCAGGAGACAGGGCATTGAGCTGATACACTTCCCTGCCTCGTGGAACAGCGTCACCACCAGCGAGATGCGCTTCCTCATCACCAGGATCACCAACAGCAGGATCACCTGAAATGAAAGAGGGAGTAAGTAAACTGGACAGATACATCACTTACAGATAAAATCATATTAAAAAAAATAAAAATTCATGTCTTGTCTCAAAGTAAGATTGTGCTGAAAATCGTTGTTGATTGTGACAGCTAAAGAAGCACAATTTCACAACGAAAACATGTACATTACTGCCACTTTATCAATTTTATTGTTAATGGCCTTAAAATCATCTCAGTTTTGAATGATTGGTGCAACAAAAGACAAAAATATACAACAGCCCCCAAACCAGCTGCCCTCCACTGCCCCATCCCCACCTTCCAAAAAATATTGTTTTCTTCACTGAACCTCAAGGATTAAAAAAAAACCTCTGGAATTCCTCTGAAACAAGTTTGTTTGCTGTTTGACGCCACACACAATTAGCATACAATGATATACATCAGCCAAGTCAAGAACTTTGACCACCCATTCCCATTAGTCGCCTTTTACGACAAGTAAGCGGATGATGAATTCAAACCTGGATCTTTACGGGTAGGAAACATTAAGGACAGGTCCCAAGTGCAAGAGTGAGTTAGTGAGTTTAGTTTTACGCCGCACTCAGCAATATTCCAGCTATATAGCGGTGGTCTGTAACTAATCGAGTCTGGACCAGACAATCCAGGGATCAACAGCATGAACATCAATCTGCGCAATTGGGAACCGATGACACGTGTCAACCAAGTCAGCGAGTCTGACCACCCGAACCCGTCAGTCGCCTCTTACGACAAGCATGGGTTACTGAAGATCAATATTCTAACCCGGACCTTCATGGGTCCCAATTTCAAAACATCATTAATGACGTTGTACGGTATGAAACATGTACTTACTGTCAAAACTGATGCAATTATGGAAAAAGTAAGGAAGGTGTTTTCACTACTGATCTCCACGTCCAACAGAGGAATCTTCAGCTTGTAGTCATTGTCCAGCTTGTTTTTCACACTTGCGTATGTCCACCACAGAAAAGCAGTACCCGCTGAAATAATACACAGCATATTTAATATTGCATCAAGGTACTGTAGCTCAACTGCTCTAATCTGAGTGAGCAGAAGCTAAACTGAGTCAAATCTGGGCAACTACTTCATTATTTATGTTGTATAAATGTTTACACAATGCCATGATTATAAATGTATTATCAGTTCCCAGGGTACTGTGGCATATTTAACTGTATGCATCAACTAATATTCTATAAACTCTGAAGGTCAATTTTATGATAACAACAATCTGGTACTAATTATCATCTCAAACAGCTGCCTCTGAAATATGAAATATTTTAGTTTCAAAATATCAAAATGGCAAAATTTTGAGAAAAGAAAGCAAATTATATCACATGACAAGACACCCTTTTCTGTCAAATATGCAAATAAAGAAACTTGACTATATCTTTATTTATTATCAAATACATGAGACACACAAAATATGTTCATTTAATTCATCATTACAATGAGAATGAGCAAGTAACCAAATTTTCTGAATACAATCATTTTGGGCAGAAATATCTTTTTATATCATTTCAGAAATCTTGTAGTATTTTTCCCTTCCTTTCATCTTATAAAACAATACTCACTTCAGACAGATCCAAATCCCTTAGCATCCTTCTGGTCTTATTGAATTTTGAACATGCTTGTTAATTATTGACAGGACATTTTTAAGGGGATACTTAATATCTCCTTCCTGTAATATTTAATCCCTTGAGGAACCAGTGCCCAAAATAAGGAGACATTGTGTTTCCCAGCTTCCTGTTCACCTGACGATATTCATTACAAATATCAAACACATCTTGGCACATAGGTAAGAGCTGGTTGTTTCTTAGCAACATTTTCATGTTGAAAATATACCCAAATAATATAACATATAATGTATGTATTTCTTAAATTCAACTTTACTCTTAAACAACTTGATATCAATTAAAATTTATATTTAAAACTTTAAAAGAAATGTCTTTCAAATTAACTATTAACTTCTCATGATAATAAAATACTAATTCGAAAATGTAATTTAAAAATATGATTAATCTGTGTACCCAATCAGTACTTCTTGCCAATCAAAGTCTACTGTTGATTTGAACCTGTCTTTTAAAGTTAAACAAATCCCATAAAGATAAATGAATTGAAGAAATTAATGTTCAATTTGAACGATCAACATACAATTTGCTCTATAAGTCAAGTCTAAAGTTTTCCACAACAATGTTTTCAGGGAATCTAATCAAGCAGACCCATTAATCTCAAAACAATATTATCCAAACAATCTGGTAAGCTAATTAACATTCAATCTTATCTGATACAATGGGAAGGGAAACAGCACAAGTTTGATATAATGCAAGTTTCTTTCTCAGTGTGGTCTTGAGAGACCTATGCCTGGCTCTGGACATATTTCTGTGTGGCTCCTACACACTGTTACAGCACCTATGATAACACACCAGCCCAAGTCCAGAATACCTGGAATTGTCCAAGAGGTCGATGAGCATTCTTGATGTGGCTTCCCCAGCCAAGGAGATATACAGGTGGAGGATACTGCAGGCACCTGTAGGATGTGCTAGGTGGAGATATGGTGGGATGGGTGGGGATGGGGAGGGAGTGGAGGATGGGTGGTTGCTGGGGTGTGGTGGTGGGTGGGAAGGGAGATGGTGGTGTTAGGGGGACTTGGGGAGGGACTGTGGCGTGGGTGTATGTGTTCCCCATCTCTCTGATCCATTTTTTAGTTTGTCTCACAGTCCCTGAACCACATTATTTTTCCTACAGCCTAGCCCTCTCAACAATGTTAGAGCTCTAAATGAAGCAAGTCTAGATTTCCTCAGGTTCTGAATCTCCCATCTCACTGGGGCTCCTTTTCAATTTAAATGGGTTAATTTGTTCCTATCAAAATTATATATTTCAGAGACTAAGAATTAGTCTAATCTATTTTGTGTGGACCCTTTAATTTGGAAAATCATGGATCCAAATAATCCTTGTAAAGATGGGAGAGAGTTAAGAGGCCATAAGACAGTGTTGACTAGAGGTTGTTCTGGCAGCATGTCACTGTAAGGTGTTTTATTCATTCACAAAGTCAAATGAGTTGGAACAGTGTGAAAGTTGATACTCAACAAGAATTCATCTCAAAACAGTAATTCTTCACTTGTTTTGATAAAAGTGAGGGAGGAGAGTTTTTGTAGTAGCTAAATCAAGGTTGCCAAGTTATCTTCATCTTGTGGAAATTGTTTCCCATAAAACTAGTTTCAAATGCAATAAAAACGACATTTGGTATCAGATTGTACTTTCATAGGAAGTCAAAATGTGGTGTATCAAAAAATCCAGACAATGTTGGCGATTATTCAAATAATCCACGTATGAATTAAGGTCGTGTTACAGGACAATAGATCATAAAAGTAAAAGCCATTGCATGTCAACTTCCATTACCTGGTTAGACATTAGGAAAATGATACAGTTTACTGTAATGGGCATCCGTAATTTACCGAAAATCTAAGGACCATACATGCGACTTTGGCCATCATGGAGAAACAATAACGTGGTCGTATGACAAAGTCGCCAGACCCATGCCTGCTTTCACTGCATAATTTGTTCCGTGTTTAACAAAGTCAACAAAAACTGATCCAATGCGATCATTAAACAAGCTAACGACATTGGGAAATAGCATTGGCTGGTGTAGCTCAGAGTCATGTATCAGGCCGTCAATACCGGGAAGGGTCATAATGAAATCTACACCAATCAACACGATGGATCTGAAATATGGGGGGATAATACCAGGATGTGATTGCCAATTAAACACAACAATATGTGACAAGTCAAACGCAGGTGAATTATCGCTCGGAGCCCACTTACCTAAGCTTGCTATGATGACGACCACCAAGATCAGCCAGACAATTACTGACGCAAAGAATCGGATCAGCAACGCCATTATCAAGGCAAAAACTGCGGGAAAGCAACAAAATGCACTCTCAATATCGTAGTAAATTTCTGCAGAGACTTCCGTCCCCAGACACAAATTGCAAGGTCGCATAGCAATTTACAAAACTGTCTTGTTTTCACCAGCGCCAGAGGAATTTAAACCCAGTCATGGTGGTTGATTTAGATTCACGCCAACGCATGGCGATCTGTGAAAATTGCACCAAATTGTCCACCACATAATGATAGAGATTAGACAGTCTTGGAGGTATTGTTTATAGGGCCGAGACAAGTGACAGGTGATATGTCATTGTAATTATCATCGTTATTTTCATGATTTCTTCATTTATAAAGATCAATTCTTGCTTTAGTAGTGATTACCGCAAAATCCAAATAAATTGCAGGCATGCAAGGAATACTGAAGATTGTTGTTGACAAGCAAGATGTCAGACAAGGGCAGAATGGCTCCTCCAAGAACATGGTATTGATGCTGATGAAAACACATGTTGACAGTGAAAGACATACATTAATAAAGTGACCTTGATCAAAACACAACAGAATTATGAGTGAGTGAGTGTGTTTGGTTTAAACCTGTTTTCAACATTTCAGTCATATCAACATGCTGGCTTAATGTGTGAAGAAAGCCAAAAAAAGCCAAATATACCCTTCACAATAAAGAAGTTATCCATAATCCATAAACAAACCAAATATACTATTCACACTTTGCTATGGAACAAATCATTGATTCAACAGAAAACTATGGTGTGGGGTCAAATTTGGTTTAAATATCTAAGCCTATTGTTAGCATGGATCCTAGGCTTCAGCATGTCATTTCATCTTGTGATCCCATACCTGCTATTGACAGGTGTTGTGTACTTGTCAATGACTCGTTCCATGATTTGCAAAATGGTTGATTGGTGCCATGAAAACCATTTTTATGGTTACTCATGTATCAGGTGCATAAGGTTAGATTAAAGTGACTGTTTGCCTAAAGAGGTGTTACCATATCATTATCTATCCAGTTTTAAATGAATACATTTTCAAATTATAAATCTATGTTTAAGTAAAGTTGTGAAATTTTGTGATCCTTAACAAAGTGTGAGTAGTATATGATCCAGGTTGTGGATGTTAATTAGGTGAAACCAATTTTGTTGGTGCTGACAAACCATGGGTGAATGTAGGATTGAACCCAGTCCCTGCATGATGTCACTGCAAAAGGGGGCAGTGGGGTAGCCTAGTGGTTAAAGCATTTACTCGTCACGCCGAAGACCCGGGTTTGATTCCCCACATGGGTACAATGTGTGAAACCCATTACTGGTGTCCCCCGCCGTGATGTTGCTGGAATATTGCTAAAAGCAGAGTAAACTAAACTCACTCACTCACTGCAAATGGTACCAAACATCATTTGGGTGACATCATGGTACCCAATGACATCATAATGGTTTGCAAAGCATTGTGAAGCAATTTCATTGGAGTGATATTTCAATACATATATTACGGTACTTGATCTATGGACCCGTGAAGGTCCGGGTTAGAATGAGCCTTCAGTAACCCATGCTTGTCGTAAGAGGTGACTAACGGGATTGTGTGGTCAGGCTCGCTGACTTGGTTAACACATGTCATCGGTTCCCAATTGTACAGATCAATGCTCAAGCTGTTGATCACTGGATTGTCTGGTCCAGACTTGATTATTTATAGACTGCCGCCATATATCTGGAATATTGCTGAGTGCGGCGTAAAACTAAACTCACTCACTCACTACTTGATCTAAGAGCTCAGCTATCAATCTCTGCTTTGCCCGCCCATGAACAAGTAAATCAGTGAAATTATTAGAATATTGTGAAAAACAACATCTACTCACTCAAATTGGTGAAAACAAAACTATAAAATCTGTGTATCTTAAAACCATATTTTATTCCACTTGATATGATGTGTGTTAGTTTAATGGAAATATAAAATGCTTACTTGTTTTAAACTAGATTTGTATCTACTGAAGTGACAGGCTTTTCTCTTTATCAGACGTTTTCAACTGCCACAGTCTATGCTATGATTTGAGGATTAATGTTGCAATTTCTTTTTCACATTGCTGTTTCCAGTTTTATCATATCAATTTTTCAGAATGATCAACCAAATGATTTTAAAAAGGGTTCAATCACAAGAGTTGGGAATATTAAATTACAACACAGGCATTGAAACACTCATAGTGTAGATGACATACACTTGGCTCGGGGAGAGTGGGCTCTTTTTTAGCCTACAATATGTGGTTATAAAGGAATCCACACTTCATATATCTCCATAAGGTTTATTCAGCTGACAAAACTAATTTTCAATTCTCCACTAATTTAATGTTTTAGACACTTGCATGAAAGTGAAAAGTTTCCATTTATTTTCTACAGTTATGACACAAAATAATGTGACAAAACACTTTTCAAAACAGGATAAATTAATTACGATGCCTTGGCAAGATTACACTTACTAAATCGTGGAGTCATACACAATGAAATCTCAGGAACATCAACTTATCATGCAGATGGTATCATTACTATTTGCCACGGATTCACTTACAAACAGTAATGATATATTTGGAGTGGATATATTATGATAAGGAAATGTTTTTGTCACTTTAATAACAACTAACTTTAGATATAAATTAAATTATGTTAATGGTGCTCTTGGTGTAATGATGTTGCTGAATATCACTGAAAGGCATTGTGAAATATCTTAAAGGTTAGTACCAACTCCTGATTCAACCCCAACCCAGCCATAAAGGGAGTAAGTGAATTTAGTTTTACACCACTTTTAGCAATATTCCAGCAATATCACAGTGGAGAAGACCAGAAATGGGCTTGACACATAGTACCCATGTGGGGAATAGAACCCGGGTCTTTGGCGTGATGAGTGAACGCATTAACCACTAGGCTACCCCACCGCTCCCAGCTATAAAACTGACTATGGTATTAATGCATCTCACTGTACAATACTGAAAATGGGCTTAGTGTCATACATCCAACACATTTTCACATCAGTCTGTAAGAAAATAAAACAAAATGCAAAATGAAATTGTAACTATCTTTCAAAGAAAAATAATTGGACTATTTAATATCCAGTGTTAATCCACACATTCCACTAAAGCGTTTTATCTGTTTTTAAAGCTTTACATAGTATCCTCAGAATCACGCAACACAAGCCAAATACTTCCTCCCGAGAGATAGATCCATTACAGCATCCGCGTTCAGCCTTTCGCTCATCACGATCTCCCTCCACACACATCCACATCACACACTGCAACCACTAGTTTTAATAATTCTAAAGACTATTAATATCCACGGCAGCTAATTATCACCTATATTGGTTTCTTTTCACAAAAAAGGAAAAACACATTTTCAAATTAATCCCTGAAAATAACCACCTTTTCAAGTGTGTGAACAGCATGCTTAATTTTAGCCTTTCAATTATTGATTATATAAAAATGTACACTACATCAGCTGAAGATGAAAATATTGACTATCAAAAACATAATTTTACAAGCTTTCATGCCTATAATGTCTGTGTACCAAAAATGTAAAAGAGAGAATTTAAACAACAAAAACACATTTTAATCAAAAAATGAAACCTAATCAACATTAAAGGTAAGTAGACCCATATTGCAATAAATAAGAAATATTTTTTTTATTTTGGACATTCATGTCTTTTAAAACAATTTAAATTTCTTTAATTGATATTTAAAAGAAACTTTGATGAAAAAATTCATGTTACATTTATAATGTTAGAAGTTCAAACAAAGGAACCAATGCTCCTTGACATGGCATTCCAAGTTTCATCAATACTTTGCCCAAGTTGAATTAAACTGAAACTAGTTTTTCCAACTCCCCTTTGAAATTGGACACCAAGCCTGTATAACCTATAAGTGATATCAATCGTTAATGTCAAATTATCCACCTCAAATATACTCCACCTGAAGTATTCTTTATAAGAAAAATTAAAGACCATTATTTGCTGCAGGAATAGCTTTTTAGACCGTATGAAATACAATCTGACTAAATGTACGAAATGCCAGAGCGAAAACTATTGATTAGTTGCAAAAAGAAATATATTACAATACATCAGTTAAGACATAATTTGATTTCTTAAATGACTGACTTTGAAATATATACTCTATAAGATTTCTACAGATAGGTTCCGCAACTTTATCTGTACGTTTAGTACATCCAATATCTTAATATAATGACACAAAAAATATGGTAATTGTTTTTATCGAACAGAAGACTTCTTACAAAAACTTCCCTGAAGCAGCATAAAAACTTTTGTTGGTAAAATATGCAAATATTTTGTTTTAATTGATATTTAATTAAAAGTGGAAAGACATTTATCAGTGAGTGTTTTGATCAATTTTAAAGCAATGCTTTAGTCATATCACATAAGTGGACTTTTGTGTGACACTGTGTGCCTCAAACCCAGGCCTACAGTATGGATGTCTAATGCTATACCATATGAGTGAGTGAGTGAGTGAGTGAGTGAGTGAGTGAGTGAGTGAGTGAGTGAGTGAGTGAGTGAGTGAGTGAGTGAGTGAGTGAGTGAGTGAGTGAGTGAGTGAGTGAGTGAGTGAGTGAGTGAGTGAGTGAGTGAGTGAGTGAGTGAGTGAGTGACTGAGTGAGTGACTGAGTGAGTGAGTGACTGAGTGGAACCCTGCTTAAAACACTATTTCAGTCATATCATGGCTTCCAAGCTTGGCAGAGACAAAAGCCCAAAGTCATGCAAGTCTTGGATGAAACACATGAGGTTGTGGAAATATCTTTAGTCTCTTGAATCAGTTATTGTCTAGTGAGTGGGTTGATGAGTGAGTGGGTTGATGAGTGAGTGAGTGAGTGAGTGAGTTGAACCCTGCTTCAAACAGTATTTCAGCTATATCATGGCTTCCAAGCTTGGCGGAGACAAAAGCCAAAAGTCATGCAAGTCTTGGATGAAACACATGAGCACAAATACGGTGCTGACAATCCAAGAAATATAATAAGAGCAAGCCAGGATGCGAACCAATGATGATATATATGTTTCTGGCATGTCCAAGGGACACAACCATGCACAGTGAATTGCAGTGAACATAACGATGACATACACTGCACTTTGACTGTGTTGCAAATGAGCTGGTAACCAACATAAATGTAAAATAATCACAGCAGCATCGCAGCCTTGTGACTGTGACTGTGACTGTGACTTACAGAAAATCACAGTTATTTCTATGAATCAGTTATCTTCCACTCCTGACATGTGACTGACAGTGAGTGAGTGAGTGACTTACAGAAGGCAACGAAGCACAGCACAATCATCTCCTTCCAGGTGTTGTAGAGGTCACTGAGCATCTTCTGAAAATTGTCGCTGCTGTTCAGGAAGTTGATGATGTTGCCCAGCACTTCCTGGGGCAGGGTGTACAGCGGCGAGGGAACACAGCGATTCAGCAGTGGAACACTGGAACAAGTATTACATGGGTAATACGGGTTCACCGGAACAGGTATTACATGAATATGGGTGTCACAGGAACAGGTATTACATGGGTGATACGGGTTCACCGGAACAGGTATTACATGAATATGGGTGTCACAGGAACAGGTATTACATAGGTGATACGGGTTCAACGGAACAGGTATTACATGGATGATACGGGTTCACAGGAACAGGTATTACATGGGTGATATGGGTTCACAGGAACAGGTATTACAATGGTGATATGGGTTCACAGGAACAGGTATTACATGGGTGATATGGGTTCACTGGAACAGGTATTACATGGGTGATACATCTTCACAGGAACAGGTATTACATAAGTGATACAGGTTCACAGGAACAGGTATTACATGGGTGATACAGGTTCACAGGAACAGGTATTACATGGGTGATATGGGTTCACAGGAACAGGAATTACATGGGTGATACGGGTTCACAGGAACAGGAATTACATGGGTGATACAGGTTCACAGGAACAGGTATTACATTGGTGATACGGGTTCACAGGAACAGGTATTACATGGGTGATATGGGTTCACAGGAACAGGTATTACATGGGTGATATGGGTTCACAGGAACAGGTATTACATGAGTGATACAGGTTCACAGGAACAGGAATTACATGGGTGATACGGGTTCACAGGAACAGGTACTACATGGGTGATACAGGTTCACAGGAACAGGAATTACATGGGTGATACGGGTTCACAGGAACAGGTATTACATGGGTGATACAGGTTCACAGGAACAGGTACTACATGAGTGATACAGGTTCACAGGAACAGGTACTACATGAGTGATACAGGTTCACAGGAACAGGTATTACATGGGTGATATGGGTTCATAGGATCAGGTATTACACGGGTGAGATACGGGAACATTGGAACAGGTTTTACACAGGTAAGATATGGGAACACTGGAATAGGTATTACTCTCGGCTAAACACTAAACTAGTAATGTAGCAAAGTCTTGCTTTAAATGAAGATCACTGAAGACCATATCAAAGCTAAAATTACTGACCTCTTTTTAACTGGGGTCACTGGGCAGGGGCCCTGAAGACCCTGTAACCTCTGCAGGTTTTCATAATCATCCTTTGTGACATCGTATCTGCACAAATGGGAGCCTGTAGTCTTGGAGAAGTGTGCCACTTGTCTCAGATCATCTAGGTCTTCATGAGGACATTTGTTGACACATATCCTCATTGACGCCTTGGGGTGCTCAACATCCATGAAAAACACATACCTGTAAAGTGAAAATCATGAATTAGTCGTAGAATTAGTGAACATGATTTGGTATTTATTTTCAATTCCTTCAAAATCACGGCAAGGGACACTGACTTGCTTTTCAGACCTACTCGGGCATGATGATCAAATGCTTCAACCACTGAGCTACCCAACTGTTCCCTTTCAATAGCATTTTCTACAGTTCATGACTTTCATTTAGAAGGGGTTTGAAATAGTCAGTGTCAGTGATAACTTCGCATTATTACATCACTGCCACAAGCTAGTTTGGCTATCACATGGTCTGCTTGTTTGCTTGTTTGTAAACAACATGATTATGCTTAAATCAGAGCATATAGATAATGCAAGGTGTAGCTTACATATTGTTTGCTTATATATACAGGTCTCTGACAAAAATCACAACAGTGAAGAGCATGACAAAATATCTTCGTTCGTCAAAGTGATGGCATGGCTAATTATACATGGCTTTGATGAACAGTTTTTCAAGTTTAGAGAATTTTGTCAGTGAAAGTGAACCATTTCATGTTTTAAAAAAATGAAAGCATATGAAAAACAAAAGTAATCTATTTTTGGTTAAAGGAAACATAAACAAAGAAACAAGTGCTTGTTTGTCCAAATGATGCCTTGGAGTCAGTTTTATTTATTGGAGTATTATTATATCTGGCCCTTCCAGTATTGCAGCAGAGACACTGAAAGTGATAGAATTGGGTCTACACCGCTTTTAGCAATATTCCAGTGGGTGACATTACAAGTGGGGAATCAAACCAGGACCTTCAGCAGGATGAAAGAGCACTTTAACCACATGGCTACCCAACCACCAGTTTGAGTTTGATTTGACACTACTGTGAATGGCATTTCAGTGACCTGGTGTGGTAGTCTTCTGTAGAACGACAGCATACATTGATGTCCGACTTAGCCGTTTACCACTTCTGTATAACGGAAACTATTGTGCCATCAGACACACTCGGCTGACAACAAAAGATGTATCTCCATTTTCTGATCAAAGCAGTATTATTGTCACAGCAGGGACATCAGGAATGGGCTTAACACAATGTCCCAATGTAAGAATTATACCTCCAGGTGTTCCGGCTGATGGTGCCTGCTACCTCACAAACATCAGTATGAAGATCAAGGTCAGAAATGTTTTATACCATACTTGAAGGTGAGGTGAAGTTGGGTTTTACATCATACTTGAGAATATTTCGCTCATATGACGATGTGCATGCGTGTGTATGTGTATGTGCGGCTGCTTGTACTAGCACAGACTTAAGCTGGTTTTATAGTGCTAGCCCACTCAGATACCATGCCGCAGTGAAGCATGAATACCCCACTCAGACACATTATACTGACTCCCGAGCCGACCAGTCCTTGTTGACCCCATTAATGTCAAGCGCCAGGCAGGGACCAACAAGTACCATATTTTAACGTCTTTTGGTATGACGCGGTCGGGGATCGAACCCACAACCTTCCGCTCTCCGGGCGGACGCTCTAACCACTACACCACGGAGGCTTACCATACTTGAAATAAGAGGCAACTAACAGAATTGTCTAATGGGATCGAGAGGTCAGACTTGCTGATTTGCTTGCTGCATGTTGTTATACCCTAACTACATTGAAGCATGTGGGAATTATAAATTCAGGTGTTCTGGTGATCCACTGCCTCACAAACATGGATTTGAATTACCCTCATCCCCCATCTAACCCCTCTCCTGCTACAAAGATCCAGAGCGGGTCTTCAACAACCCATGCTTGTAATATGAGGAGAACTGGATGGTCAAATTCACTGCTTAAATGTTCATGCATATCAATGTGAGTGAGTGAGTCTTGTTTCATACCGCTTTTAGCAACATTACAGCGGGGACACCAGAAATGGGCTTCATTTACCCATGTTGGAAATCGAACCCAGGTCTTCAGCATGACAAGCGAATGCTTTAACCACTAGGCTACCCCACCGCCCCGCATATCATTGTGTCCTAGTTGAGTAGATCGATGCTCATGATGTCAATCACTGGATTGTCTGGTTCAGAATTGATTTTTATTATTGTCGATATTGCTATTTATTGCCTAATGTAGCATTTCCTACAAAAAAATATAAAATAAATAAATACATGGCTGAAATGTATCCACTGGAATTACACGCAGAAACCTACCCAGTTGACCTTGACCTCAAGCCACAATAACACTTGCAAACCCTTGGGAAAAATTACCATGTTTATGCTCTCACACTACAACCTATGTCTTACATTTATCAAGCTACGTCCTTAAAGACCACGATTAGAACACGATACTGGTGAACTTCCATCAACAAGAAGTCTTTGATCCCTCGGTCTAAAGACATGTGTCTTTTATTGCCCAATAACACAATAACCTATCACACGTTTAATATGATACGACAGTTCTTTGCATGTAATTTGCCTTGCTTTGATACGGCTGTTGTTCTGTCACAGTTGTTGATGCTGGTTGTTGTTTTTACCTACCATTGAGCGAGCAGGTTTCATGGATTGGGGCTATTTTGCACACAAGGTTGGTTTTGTTCCAGGGTTTAATATCCAACATCTGTTTATGTGATCAATTTCAGTCGAAATGGACAAGGTGAGATGTGATTGATGTCTGCACATTTCAAACAAAGAATATCGATGTTTGTGACTACAATTATTCTTTTGATTAAGTATTAATGTTCGTGAAAATGAACACACTGCCTTTCAGTCAATAAACTCGTCAATTATACTCAGTTTATCAAACCAAATTGAAATATATTACACCCAGCCATGGAGCAAAGATATGGGTATTATTTGTAAATTTCAAAATGAAAACAGATAGCTGTACCAGCTGTGAAGACACAGAAAGCAATGTGGATGCTCAGCGTATGTTTATCAGACAGATTCTTTCAATCATATTCAATTTATTAAAGAGTAAGATAATAAAAAGAAAATAATTTCAAGGTGGAAGAAATTATACATGATGAATATAGTACACTTTGAAAAAGGACATATTTATTAAGACATTAGTGATGAAGATATATTTGGTTGCTTATCGTAGAAGAAATCACACTTGATTCATGTCACTGGGAATAATAAATAGCTACAGATATAATATGTCATGTTGCATACACCTAATCAAAGAGTTCCTTTACTGCAACTACAGTCACAAACATTTAACTTCACAATGAAATTATGAAACATGACAGACAAACTTATTTCTCAAAGTTATGATTTAATTAAAAAATAATAATGTAAAAACCCCGAACATTTCAAAATTATAGATGCATCAATTATTAGAAATACTTTGGGAAATTGGCGTCTTAAATTTACTAAATTCTAAACTTTTTTCGAAATTGTTTTCATTAACAATGCATGTGAAGGAAAAGGTTTCTCATCTGGCTGGGCAAGTGTTCAATTACATGCTTATCATAATTGGACTGGTAGGTGAGGTGAAATTGGGTTTAACGTCGTGCTTGAGAATATTTCGCTCATATGACGATGTGCATGCGTGTGTATGTGTATGTGAGGCTGTTTGTACAAGCACAGACTTAAGCTGGTTTTATAGTGCTAGCTCACTGAGATACCATGCCGCAGTGAAGCATGAATACCCCACTCAGACACATTATACTGACTCCGAGCCGACCAGTCCTTGTTGTACCCAGGCAGGGACCAACAAGTACCATATTTTAACGTCTTTTGGTATGACACAGTCGGGGATTGAACCCGCGACTTTCCGCTCTCCGGGCGGACGCTCTAACCACTACACCACGGAGGCGGTTGGACTGGTAGGAAAGTGATATACCGTAGTCAGTTTAATAAGTGCCTTGAGGTTAGAGGATATTTAATGGTAGTGCTTATTAGGAAGTGTCTTGTGCATTTGCAGAGACTTACCAATTATTTAGCATACAACATTAAATCTATAGTGATTTATTTGAAACTAAATCAGATATTGATAACATCCTTCAATAACGATCACATGATTGTTTCAGACATGAATATTCTCTATCAGGTGGAGTATGACAGGGTGAAGTGTTAAACAACAACATTGTGTATGACATCACTAAACTGAAAATGAGGAGTGAGTGAGTGAGTGAGTGAGTAGGGTTTTACGCCATTTTTAGTAATATTCCAGCAATATCATGGCGGGTGACACCAGAAATGGACTTCACACATTGTGCTCATGTGGGGAATCGAACCCAGGTCTTCGGTGTGACGAGTGAACACTTTAACCACTAGGCTACCCCACCGCAATGAGGACTGACTGACTGAGTTTGGTTTTACGCAGCTTTTAGCAATATTCCAGCAACATCACGGCAGGGGACACCAGAAATGGGCTTCACACATTGTACCCATGTGGGGAATCGAACCCAGGTTTTGGCGTGACGAGCCAACCCTTTAACCATTAGGCTACCCCACCGCCCCCCGTAATGAGGAAACAAGGACATATAATATAAAAATTCAACAGAAAAGGTATTCATCATTCACAGAAAAATTCTATTGGGAATATGGCAAAATAACAGAAACAAAACCATATATATATGGGTCACCCAAAATCAGTGAATAAACTATTTGTATGGATTAAGCATGAAATGCCCTATGGGTAGCACCCACCATGCACAAGACTTGCATAAAAGCCTGTGTTTTTTGTTGCCTTGTATACAGTACACAGTGCACTACTTCTGCCATACAACAGCAGCCAGTGTAAACAATCAAGTCTTGACCAGGCAAGTGATGGAGGAGTAAGCGACTACATCTTTAGTCTTGTGGATGAGGCTGTGATGTATCAATGGATACAATATGGACGAGACGAGGACAAGGCCAGAGAACAGTGTCCATGCTGCTGCTCCGCTCCAATCAATAGTCCAGAGAAACATTATCATCACCTATTCAAGCTCTAGGTAGGCTTAACAAACCATTTTTGTCTCAGGAACTCAATTCTGTTTGCTTTGGGAGACAAACATCAGCACTGTTGACCTACTCTGCCTTAGACCATGCTACACACTGTTAAGAGCTATAGAAAAAATGATCTGGTGGACACTTGTTCTGGTGTTAAGTGTGTTGGAGACATAGTGGATTGAAACCAGATCCACTCTGGACAGGTGCTGTTTCAGTAACTGAATCAGTTGACTTATCACCTCATTAACACACTGTTATGTAGAAGGAGAAATGTCACTATGTCGCCATGTTACTGAGACAGATCTAACTTTCAGCTCTTGGCAAAACTACACGAAAAAAGTTTCCAAACTTCCATGCTTCAATATCTATGACCAGTACTTATACAGATGCTGCACATGAAAGAGTAGTTTATACACAAGTGTTTTGGAACAATACTTATAAGAGGCGTACATGTTATAAAAAAGCATTAAGAAAGACCAATATATGCAAATTCATGCACATTATCAACTACAACAACTTAAGTAAAGGCTAGAAACTGTTATGGATGTCAAGTTCTTTATTCTATTATGGAGTGAGTGAGTGAGTAGGGTTTTACGCCATTTTTAGTAATATTCCAGCAATATCATGGCGGGTGACACCAGAAATGGACTTCACACATTGTGCTCATGTGGGGAATCGAACCCAGGTCTTCGGTGTGACGAGTGAACACTTTAACCACTAGGCTACCCCACCGCAATGAGGACTGACTGACTGAGTTTGGTTTTACGCAGCTTTTAGCAATATTCCAGCAACATCACGGCAGGGGACACCAGAAATGGGCTTCACACATTGTACCCATGTGGGGAATCGAACCCAGGTTTTGGCGTGACGAGCCAACCCTTTAACCATTAGGCTACCCCACCGCCCCCCGCAATGAGGAAACAAGGACATATAATATAAAAATTCAACAGAAAAGGTATTCATCATTCACAGAAAAATTCTATTGGGAATATGGCAAAATAACAGAAACAAAACCATATATATATGGGTCACCCAAAATCAGTGAATAAACTATTTGTATGGATTAAGCATGAAATGCCCTATGGGTAGCACCCACCATGCACAAGACTTGCATAAAAAGCCTGTGTTTTTTTGTTGCCTTGTATACAGTACACAGTGCACTACTTCTGCCATACAACAGCAGCCAGTGTAAACAATCAAGTCTTGACCAGGCAAGTGATGGAGGAGTAAACGACTACATCTTTAGTCTTGTGGATGAGGCTGTGATGTATCAATGGATACAATATGGACGAGACGAGGACAAGGCCAGAGAACAGTGTCCATGCTGCTGCTCCGCTCCAATCAATAGTCCAGAGAAACATTATCATCACCTATTCAAGCTCTAGGTAGGCTTAACAAACCATTTTTGTCTCAGGAACTCAATTCTGTTTGCTTTGGGAGACAAACATCAGCACTGTTGACCTACTCTGCCTTAGACCATGCTACACACTGTTAAGAGCTATAGAAAAAATGATCTGGTGGACACTTGTTCTGGTGTTAAGTGTGTTGGAGACATAGTGGATTGAAACCAGATCCACTCTGGACAGGTGCTGTTTCAGTAACTGAATCAGTTGACTTATCACCTCATTAACACACTGTTATGTAGAAGGAGAAATGTCACTATGTCGCCATGTTACTGAGACAGATCTAACTTTCAGCTCTTGGCAAAACTACACGCAAAAAGTTTCCAAACTTCCATGCTTCAATATCTATGACCAGTACTTATACAGATGCTGCACATGAAAGAGTAGTTTATACACAAGTGTTTTGGAACAATACTTATAAGAGGAGTACATGTTATAAAAAAGCATTAAGAAAGACCAATATATGCAAATTCATGCACATTATCAACTACAACAACTTAAGTAAAGGCTAGAAACTGTTATGGATGTCAAGTTCTTTATTCTATTATGATGCAATGTATCGTGGGCCACCTAATGTCCTTGTGTTTTACCTGACCCACATTTAGACGGTGGTCAGTAACAGTAAAAACAGGATACTTTTGTGGATGACAACTTCTTTATTCTATTATGATGCGTTGTTTTGTTATAGATCCTTATAGTACTGGGATTTGAGCTCATGATCACGGGTTTCATGCCAAAGAAAAGCAATATATTGTAAGACTACAGATGAGTGTCCACCTAATGTCCTTGTGGTTCACCAGACTGGGATGTGGACGTTGGTAAGTAAAGGCAAGATACTTTATGGATGATAACTTCTTATAGATCCTTATACTGTTAACAAGCAAGAGTGAGGGAGTAAGTATGGTTTTACGTCACTTTTAGCAATATTCCAGCAATATCACGATGGGGGGACACCAGAAATGGGCTTCACACATTGTACCCATGTGGGGAATCGAACCCGGGTCTTTGGCGTCATGAGCGAATGTGTTAACCACTAGGCTACCCCACGGCCCCAATCAAGCAAGAGTGATTGACAACAGTATAAGGACCTGTACTGAAACATCATATGATAACAGAATAAGGAGCTGTAATTCATAAAAGTATCATGCCTTTACTGTTTCTCTAGCCCATCCCAAATTACAATACTAGTGAACAATTCAAATGTTGTTGTTTTCATCCTAACTAAAAAAAAATTGTCTGATCACACTCAGGAGTAAAATTCATTTGAAGGATATTAAACAAAATTAAAAAAGGGAAGTAACTCTGACAATAACATTGCATCAATGCACTTTGTCCTCTCTGTTTTTTCTGTTTCCTAAGCTCCTAACAACAAGCATTTCACAATAAACAATGCAGTGAGATTATGAAGGACATGCACTTTGAATCATGCTTGAGGTGGAGACTCTTTCAGCACATCTCAATAGCTAACTCATTAGTTGAATTCTCTCTCAACCAAAGCTTTTAAGCTCTATTGTTATATTCATTTTTTTTAAAATTCCTTTTGACCTCTTGCTCCACAGCTGAAGAACAAACGTAAACCCACAATAATAAGGATGACCTTCAAATACTTTCTGACAACATTAGCTCTTTGGTTCAAAAGAGTAAGTTAGATTTCATAGAAACAATGTGTACATTTTCCCCCACAAACTGTATAGTTTCAAATCAGAACCGATGTGTTTTGTGTCTTGTGTCTTGTGTTTAGTGAGCTAACAACACCAGAAATACTGTACTGATATTCACATCAACAGATGTTTTCAGTCCCTAAGCTGATGATACTAGACTTCATAACATATACATGAAAGTCATTTGGGTCAGTCCAATGGCTTTGATAAAGAGGAGGCTATACTCCTTGTATTCCACTGGTCCCAGCCAGCAGTGTACACACAGCAAACTCCTCACACCGATACCTCATTACATGGTATTCTTTACAGACAATCTCACACTGTGAGGAGCTTAGACTTGTTGTTTTCCACTTCTTTCATTGGTCCTCTCAATTCTGACATTTAGTAATCATTTATGACAAGTGTCATCATCATCCAAGGTTTTCACCCCATTTCACAAATCATACTTGATTAGCATCATTAGAATACCGGCATTGTATCATCAGTGAAAACTGACTTTGACTTGAATGAATTTTTCTGCATCTCCATCTCACATGACTGAATAAATACCAGAAGTTGTTTGTATGAGGTGGTAGGCGACAGAAAACCATTTGCAGACTGCCACCTGTACTACATCAAATTTGTTTTGATTTTCTGAAAGGTTTTAAACAGCTTAACACCTTGCCATGTAATTTCTCATGAGACTTCTGCATTTACACAAATCATTCTTTACGATTTCCCCTTCAAGTTAAGTCCCGAATGTTTAATATTGGGAATGGCCTTGTCTCTGTTATCTTCGTCGCATGTATTCCCATAACTGTCGTAGCCGTAGGCCAGGCGGAAGGCGTCACCCTTTGTTATTGAGAAAGCCGCAATGAAAATCTGCAATAAAAATAGAGAGCATTGAATTAGGATCTTAAAAGTTTACAGGTGTTAATGGAGGACGGAGTGGATTGAGTGTAGGTAGAAATTACAAAAAAGACAATTTGGATTTGATTTGTGAAGATCTTACCCTGCTGTTACAAAACAACTATTTCGATTTGATTAGTGCTGATACCATATTGCATTCTGGAATTGGTTCAGGACAAACCCGGCACCAAGGCCTCCAAGACAGACTGCAATTAAACATTTATATCTCCCCTCACATCCACCAATTCTTAAGTGAATGAGTTTGTCAAGCCTAAGACAGGTTGGACACGAGGATCAATGGAAGCTTGTTTCCAGGAATATCTGTAATAGGACTGCATTTACTAAATCCTTTTGTAATTGACCAAAAAAGCATAGGTTTATACGTTGCTGTTACAGGGCTTTGTGATACGTAAGTTAGTTAGTAAGATAAATTTGCTCAAAGGGGTTCGGGAAGCGATTCAATTTATGGAAATTGGAAAATTTAGGACTTTTGAAGAACTGCCTAGGACTACACTGAATGAGGTCACATTGGTGTTTGGAGTACGACCTGTATTGTGTTTTTGAGTTCTTTTCTGGAGGGTAGGCTATTGGCCAATCATTAATTACAGACAGAGTTTGATACTATGTTCAGACTATTCATATCCCATTTTAATGACAAAACCAATGATTTTTGCTTTGAGCAAGGAAATCACAACTTTCAGAACATATAATGATGTCATTTAATAAAGTCTTGGTAGTCAAGAAAGCCACACTGTGTTACTGGATGTGTAGACATTGATGAAAATACAGAGGTCACTGAGCTCCTGGGACAACCGTAATAATTCTGAAAGTCTGCAGGACTCACAATTACATATTTCAGAGTTAACTGCTGATTAGTTGTGATTTGTGTTACTCTGAGTCTGAAACCATTACCTTCATAAAAGGAGTGAGTGAGTGAATTTAGTTTTACGCCACACTCACCAATATTCCAGCTATATGGCGGCGGTCTATAAATAATCAAGTCTGGACCAGACAATCCAGTGATCAACAGCAAGCATGAGCATCAATCTGCGCAATTGGGAACCGATGACATGTGTCAAGTCAGCGAGTCTGACCACCCGATCCCGTTAGTCGCCTCTTACGACAAGTCATAGTCGCCTTTTGTGGCAAGCATGGTTTGCTGAAGACCTATTCTACCCTGGGTCTTTCCATACAAGGACAGTTGACATTGCATTCAAGATAACTACAATTCCATAGTACCATATTCGCACATTGGTGTGAATGTGTGTGCGTGTGCATACGTATGTGTGAGAGTGTTGTGTTAGTGTGACCAAGTGAGTGTTGGTGTGTGTGTGTGTGCGTGCATGTGTGTGAGCATGCGTGTGTGCTTGCCTGTGTGTGTGAAACAGAAACCCCACTGAGATACCATGCCACAGTCTATACCCTACTCACACACAATACTCGGAGCCGAATGATTTTTCAAATATCCTTTGTGGACTTGCGCCAGGCAGGGAGACAACAAGTACCATCTTTAAAAAGACGATGTAAATTTATAATATTCCCCACATGGACTCTTAGATCCTCATTCAAACAACCATGACGTGAACATTTCAGTTTTGTGAAAGCTACAGCGTCCCAGACAATATCTACCAGCACAAAATAGCCTGAGTTTCTATTCCCAGCTTGAAACTAAAGATCAAGAGACAGAGACCTTCTCTTCTCCAGTACTGTCAGATGGGTAACCTCGGACTCGTAATGAAAACTACTAGGTGTTTTGAAATAGACAACTCCCATGGCCCAGATCAAAGTACATGGTCTAAGCATGTCAATTTCAAGCCTTTAATTGTTAATGGACTCAATTTACCCATCAGACTGGATCAATACGCCAGGTAACGCCACTGTCTGGCTAGGTGTTACTGGGATTTCATGCTAACATTTGTAGCCTTTGACATGTTTAGTTATACATGAAATATTAAATAAATATAAGCTTAAGGGAAATAGATATTGAGAATGTTCACGATTACTTAGTAATATGAATTACAGCACAGTATGGGTGCAAGTAGACTTGCACAAGTCTCCAAGGGTATGATTGTATGTTTAAATCATAATTTAAGATTATATAGGTAAAAGAACAAGCTGTCCGTTAAAAGTGCACATGTCATTTGGCATATGAACTTGTCTATTGTAACAATATCATTATACATTCACAGACTTATCACTTGGAATTGCCCTGAAGCAAGTCTACGAAGAAACCTGTAATATTAATATGTGCACTTTTACTACGCCAAACTCCAGGTACAGAGTTATTGCACATGTGGCTGTAAACAAAATAAAGTCACTACAGAAAGTCATAGGTTGTACTGTTGTAATGATAGTGTGTAGTTCTTTCGATTGTCATACAGACATACTGTATCAGGACAACTATTCCCATATATCATAGATCATCAGCGTGATGTTGGAGAAAAACATCAAGCACCGCAGATTATAGTGAGTGAGTTTAGTTTTATGTCGCTTTTATCAATATTCCAGCAATATCACGGTGGGAGACACCAGAAATGGGCTTGACACATTGTACCCATGTGGAATCGAACCCGGGTCTTCGGAGGGATGAGCGTAAGCTTAAACTATTTACTAAGACTACCCCACTGCCCCTGCAGATTATGGATACAATCACTTGGTGAAACCAAGAAACTTGCTTATGGTGCAGACAAACCCAACAGGAGAAACTGTGGATTAGAACCCATGACCAAAGGTATCAGGCATGGTCATGGACACCCCTTCTCCCTGCCCTACCAAAACAAAAACAACAATCAACAAACAACAAAAGAAAAAAAACAAACAGCAAAACTTAGCAACAACTAAAACAGCATGCTATATTATAGTAATGATTAGATTTTCAAATACAGTGGCACTGAAAACCTGAATTAATACAAATTTAAGAATAAGAAATACACAAATCCATTGATTTGAAGACTGTAAAGCATGGGGTAACAACAGCCTCATTATCCGACTTGGGAGGTGACTTATGACATTACACAGGGCGTCATCTCATGAATAATTACCAATCTGGCGGCTCAGGTGTATCGGCCTCATCACCGTGGTAATTTAGAGTTTCATGCAGTCAAAACCGTAACGTACTTCCCATCATGAAACATGCATCAAAGGGAATTGCTATACATCCTGATGACCCTAACTAGGATGTTCTTGAACGTACTGTTTCACTATCTCTAAATCAAACAATCATATCTACAATGGATATCTAGAAAGAGTTAATCCCACTTTATAATGATGTAATAAATGTAAATTGACAGTATAGTCTTCAGGTTTCAAATATGAATGAATGCTATTTACCAAAATTTACAGAAGTGATGCTAATTGGAACATTTCTTAAAGAGCTGGAAACCATTAATAACTACCTCATGATATATTCATCTAATAATACAATGACTTGACAGTATATAATAGCGCCAGCAGTCATTACTGGCTAATGTATTTGTTACGCAGGTTTGAAAAACGTAACCATTCTTTTAATAAGTAATGAATTTATATCTACAATATTAAGTTCATACTCTGTCTTTGTGATTGATTTCCTTCAGAGTTAAAAGTACCCAGGATAAATACCATAGTACTATTCTTATAAGACTATGACAAAAAACATTGTTTTGCACAAAGATGAGAAACTGAAGCACAACAAATATAACACAGTTTTAGTGTTTTCATCTTTTTATAATTTGTTGATAGCCTTAGGATTAAACTGGCTACACGTCAACACAAGGAGGAAGGAAATAGGAAGAAATCCCTTTGTCTTTGAACAGCACCTGCATAAACTGAAGCCATACTTGTACCGATAAGTCTCTCTCACCCTGGAGGCACCGAATGCAAATGTTGGTGTCAGTAAGATGGAGTTGTCAGTAGCAGGGATACTTCATCATGGAAATATGGTGAACTAAGTCCCATGGAATGTGGAGACCAGGCAAGTCTCCTTCCACAGAAATTGGCATCATGGCAAAAACGTACCAACCAACAAGCTTCATACAAAAATGAGTGAAAAATTGTTATAAAGGGCCATTTTTAGTTTGTCTCAAAGACCAATAAGAAACACTTATGAAGGTCCATCGAATGTAGAATTGGCTTGGCAAAATACCAACCAACAAGCTTCATACAAAAATGAGTGAAAAATTGTTATAAAGGACCATTTTTAGTTTGTCTCAAAGACCAATAAGAAACACTTATGAAGGTCCATCGAATGTAGAGACGAGGCTATGAAAGTCTCCCTCCACAGAAATTGGCATCAAGGCAAAAACGTGCCAACCAACAAGCTTCATACAAAAATGAGTGAAAAATTGTTATAAAGGACCATTTTCAGTTTGTCTCAAAGACCAATAAGAAACACTTACATCGAATGTAGAGATGAGGCTATGAAAGTCTCCCTCCACAGAAATTGGCATCATGGCAAAAACGTACCAACCAACAAGCTTCATACAAAAATGAGTGAAAAATTGTTATAAAGGACCATTTTCAGTTTGTCTCAAAGACCAATAAGAAACACTTACATCGAATGTAGAGATGAGGCTATGAAAGTCTCCCTCCACAGAAATTGGCATCATGGCAAAAACGTACCAACCAACAAGCTTCATACAAAAATGAGTGAAAAATTGTTATAAAGGACCATTTTCAGTTTGTCTCAAAGACCAATAAGAAACACTTACATCGAATGTAGAGATGAGGCTATGAAAGTCTCCCTGACCACAGAAATTGGCATTATGGCAATATCATGCCAACAAACAACATACATACATCAAAATGAGTGGAAATAATTGTAAAGGACCATTTTCAGTTGGTCTCAAAGTCCAATAAGAAAAACTTACAAAGTGAAACCATAACAGGTCCTGATTGATTTGGAAAGATAATATTGCCTCTGTTCTGAAATTGAGCATTGTTGTAGACTCCATTTTGACAGTATTTTCATTTCAGATGTACATTTTGAATAAGATGACTCTACTGGATTACTTGAATTAAATGTTAGTTTAGGCCTCTTCTGAAATTTGAACATATCTATAAGATTTGAAGATAAACACTGATGCACCTTCCACCCTTGACAAAGACAAACCTTAATTATAGCATACACTCTAAACACAACAAAGATGCTGTTGTAATGAAACATCCAAGTTGAAAATGCTAGTTTCAACCATTTCGGTGTTCATCAATCATTGGCTGCCTCTTTTTTAAATGTTAAGGATGACGTACATTTGGATGGTTGAAATTGACAGGTGTTTAAGTTATTCTTTCTAAACTGCCTATAAACATGTCAGCTGTTGGGATTACATGCCACGGCAGAGGTAGAACCAGCATACAATAAGGATTTATGTTTGTAAACAGAACTGAAACCTTGATATTGTTTTTAAAAATATATTTAATATTTCCATTGCTTCTGATGTGGACACAGTAGGTCATTATATACAATGCTGCTTAAGCCTTACCATGAAAATGCCATACAAAATACTGCAACTTTCAACGAATGAAATCATTTGTTTGAAACTCAAATTGACACGATGCTTTGAGCACCTTGTCATTATACATTATTATAGCTGATTGGTTTGTGAGTTTTTAATGCTTCCTCTAATCACTTGCTGTTTGTATACAGTCAAAGAACTACTCAGAAACTACTGTTTTTAAGTTAATGACATTGAAGCAGAAATATAAACATTGAAGAATTGCCAGTCAAAAATATATTTACAGATGTAGCTGATGTTTGGCCTTTCTATATTCATAAATCATAATAATTTTCACATTAGCTGAGCTGAAACAGTGAACAGAATATACAGCTCTGGACTAAACGACAGAGATGGAAACATTAACATATTTTCACTCATGAACATCGCTCACGGAGTCGGTAAAATATGTTTCGGCTATTTAATATCCATATGTCACAACTGTTTTGACAGAAAGATATCATTTTAAAAAGGTAATTCCCTGAATAATGTGTAATATAAATACATGGACACCTAAGCACACAAATATTTGTCCGTGTACAATCATGAAAATGGTATGGTGAAACCATATTGGTTTCAGGAAAGTAACATCTGGCTGTGGGTTCCATGACGAGACAAGCAAGGACAGAACCAAGTGCAACGTCAACAAGTATCATAAGAAACATCACCAGAATGAGCCAATCAAGGCAAGAATGCCACTGAAAAACAACCACATGCTGCCTAACGTTTTTGCCAAACTGATCCGGAATTTGTGACGTCCTTGGCATCACTGCTACAGAAGGTAGTAACGACACGAAAAACAACGGAACAGATGCAAAAACTATCACTTGAATAACAGACGTAGTCCGAGGACTTGAAACTAACAACTAGCCAGGAGTGGTATATTCCAGAATGTGGCAATCACTTGATCTAATTGTGGTATAGATAGCCACTAACAGTGTCTGTTTTTCACCATTTTGAAGGAAAAGAATAATAAATATCGGGCCCTGAGAAAATTGGACCTTCACCAGGAAAACGTGATATGTCTGATTAGCATCCTAGGATGCAGAATGGTGGTAGACCACTGCAAGTCCAGCACTATATCTATCACAGCTCTGCTTTATGAACACTGATTGCTGGGGCATTATCACATCTGTCCATCCATACGATCCATCATTAGCATTTTAAAGGCAGGTCATCAAGATTGTTCTATCAGTGTTTTACTATCGAACACCATGGATAAAAGACCAAGATATTTTATGGATTTATAAATGCCGCTAAAAGACACCATGGATAAAGTTTGGTATGACAGCTGTTCAGAGCCAGGGTGTTCATCTGTGCTAGTCCATGTCTAATGATAATCCTTGATTATCATATTGGATGTTCTGCATTAGTTTGCAATTATGGGAGGTGAGGCATGGTGAGGTGAGGTGAGGTGAGGTGAGGTGAGGTGAGGCGAGGCGAGGTGACTGAGTTGAAGCCGCATCGGCATTGAGTGAGTGAGTGAGTTTAGTTTTACACCGCACTCAGCAATATTCCAGCTATATGGCGTCAGTCTGCAAATAATCAAGTCTGAACCAGACAATCAACAGCATGAGCATCGATCTGCGCAATTGGGAACCAATGACTTGTGTCAACCAAGTCAGCGAGCCTGACAACCCGATCCCGTTAGTCTCCTCTTACGACAAGCATGGGTTACTGAAGGTTCATTCTAACCCATACCTTCACAGGTTGCATCGGCAAGTGTTGATCCATACACCAGTACACACCATCCACTACAGACATATACACAACTACAGGGTTTAGTACAACGTCAATAGAGAGTGATAATATTCCAGCAATATTATCTGTCTTGATACCTTACAAATAATTGATTCCTGGGCAGGCAAACAAGAGGCTGATTTCATGAGTCACTAGCCATTCTGTTTTCAGGAAATTGGTCAGGTAACAAACCCAACGTATTTCAGTCAGCACTTTTCATCAGGAACCTCCTCAAAGAAATATTATAATTCTTGGACTGGGCACTTCACACAGCATTAGGATTTTGTTCCAGATAAGGAGTGTGAAGTTGGAAGAAATTTATATACTTAAAAGCTTGGGAGAGGATTTAGTAATGATTACCTGCAGCATCTGTTTGCAAAGTTAGAAAAATCCTGGCACCATTGATCTTAATAAGACTTCAAAACATTAACCTGAAAAAATCTGACCACAAATTTGCCAATTTCCTTTCAAACTGCTTGATACACATACCCCAAGATCCTGTCTCAGTCACCCACAGTGATCCCCGATGAATATGTCTGTACACACTCACAATGTGGATCCCAGTTTTGTAAAACCCAATGAATATGTCTGTAGACATCTCAACACCTCCAATCCCAGTTTTGTAAAACCCGATGAACACGTCTGTAGACATCTCCCAGCTTACATCAAGAAGCAGCTTACTTAGAGCCTCCTCCAGATCACAGGGACTTTGTAATCATAAGGCAAGACACCTACCATTCCAGCCCAGAAGAGGAAGAAGACGAAGAGTGCCAGCATGTCTGTACATCCTCGCTTCCGGGTTGGACTGCTCAGAACCCCCTTCTCATCCCGGTAATCCTGAAATGAAAAATAACAGAAAAAATTATTCATATCTCCATGTCATTATGAGTGAGTGAGTGAGTGAGCTTTCAGGAATAACACATTGGTGGCAGAGGACATGGAAGGGTTAATGACTGAAGACTGGGATGTGTTAAAGACTGAAAACTAGGATCGGTTAATGACTGAAGACCGGGGTGGGTTAATGACTGAAGACCAGGGTGGGTTCATGACTGAAGACTGGGGTGGGTTCATGACTGAAGACTGGGATGGGTTCATGACTGAAGACTGGGATGAGATAATGACTGAAGACTGGGATGTGTTAAAGACTGAAAACTAGGGTCGGTTATTGATTCATGATTGGATAGGTTAATGACCAAGGACTTTGTAGGGTTAATGACTGAGGACTGGGGTCGGTTAATGACTGAGGACTTGGATAGAATAATGACCAAGGACTTGGTAGGGTTAATGACTGAGGACTGGGATGGGTTTATGACAGGACTTGGTAGGGTTTATGATTGAGGACTGGGGTGGGTTAATGACTGAGGACTTGGATAGAATAATAACCAAGAACTTAGTAGGGTTAATGACTGAGGACTGGGATGGGTTTATGACTGAGGACTTGGTAGGGTTAATGATTGAGGACTGGGGTGGGTTAATGATAGGACTGGGGTGGGTTAATGACTGAGGACTTGGATAGAATAATGACCAAGGACTTGGTAGGGTTAATGACTGAGGACTGGGATGGATTTATGACTGAGGACTTGGTAGGGTTAATGACGGAGGACTTGTGTCAATAGCAACTATAGGAAGATACCCCTTAACCACAGGCATCGTCCCCAATGACAGGGCCAGCATCATAAAATCCCCACAGTACAAAATACAACAAAATATTTTCTTCAAACTTCCCAAACAGTGAACGAGACTCCAGACAAGAAACAAACTCCTTTATGCCGCAGGGTTGGTTAACATACAACACACACTTTTGGAAGAAGTAGATGACAACTGTGTTTTCAGGTTAATTTCCTTCAACTGATGAAGCAAGTGTGAGAAGGCAGAGAAGAAAGAAGTATACAAAGATAGTCATCATAATGAACGATTGCTGAAATATACTGAGACACTGACATGGTCCTGGGGGAAGCTGATGAAAGGAAGGAGATATGATGTTCTTTTATGCTTCCTGGTGAAATTGTGCATGCCCTATCTTGGACAGACCATGTAAAACCTTAATCCTTCCAATGCTCCAGGGTAAACACCACACTGTGCCATTTCCATCCTTGGATATTGAATTAGAAGATAAACAAATCATCATTAGAACAAGTTGCCAGGATTGTAATTAGCTAGCCTTGCTCCAAGGCTGTACTGAATGCTAAGCCCATGGATGTACAGTAATTCTATCATTTAAGCGGCAAGTCTAGATAAGTTGACAGTACAGTCTGTTAGAGGGACAATGTATCCTATTTGTTGATATTCTTTTAATAATTATCATTTAAAATATTATTTATTACCTTAGAGACTTGTGCAAGTCTAGTCATTAGCCTGAGGCTCGTCTTCTTTAAGGCAATAAAAATTTGTGAATTTGTTTTACAGATTTCTTTTACACCAACATCCATGAAAAAAAAAAAATGTTGGCTTTTGATTATCTAAACAACTTTTCAACATAAGAAGTGAAAAAGATAACAAAACAACTTTTCAACATAAGAAGTGAAAAAGATACACTACAGCCATGTTCAACACATAACAGAAATACTTTAATATCGCTTTTACTTTTCAAAAGTTTCATTTGGGTAATTTGCAAACACTATGAGCTAGAACATCTATCCTTAAAATTCTTTAAATCTCTGAAACATGAGAGTAAACATTAACACAAAATCTAATCTTTACATAATTGCTTTTATAAAGTCAAAGCAAAACTTGATTAAGAAGATTAACAGTTTTGTATTTGCAGCATGGGGTATTTTGATTGTTCATGCATTGAAAATTAGCTGATGATGAAGGAATTCTGCCTATTTTAGGGGGAAAAAAAAGCAAATTTACAGTTAGAAACATTATGCCATCATCATTTGTTCTGTCGATACAATTACAATGAGCAACTTAAACACTTTTGTTAAAGGTCACAACAATTTTATTGGTTGCGTGACAGTATTTGTACTGCGATGACCTACTGCTTCAATCAAACAACTCTGCCTCCAACAGAAGTCAGTCACAAATGTCTTTTCATTACGCCACATCAAATAACACGTAATTAATAACACATTACTATTGCAAAATATTACAGAACAATGTCTCATTGGGACACAACTGGTGTGAAATGGTATCTACACTGTTCGCTCATATTTCCATCATTTTTGTAGTTTATGTGACATAATGTTTACATGGGCAAAGATTGCATAAATCTTTTTGATTTATTCCAAGTGAAATAGCAACAATAGAACATTTTTCAAGCACTTCTTTCCATGCCCTAGAAAAAGGATTAAAAAAGGTAAAAGGAGTTGGTATATGTGGTCTTTCCTTAGGCAAGTCAGTTTTGTCCAAATTGCCTCTGTTCACTCAACAGAAAATGGGTACCCAGTGGGATAAGTCATGTAACTATTAACCTTCTAGCCTCACAGGCAGCTTGGGTTATCCGGGGTAATAATGTCAATCATGTTGTATGTGCTGATAGCTTGCCCATCAGGTGAGGAGTTCAGCGCTATATTAGTAGCCTTATAATGTGTTAATATATATACAGAAATATATTTGTGGGCAATAAGGGTAAGAGGCATTTACCACATATTCCTCTGTCAAACATTCTATTCCTACATCACACAAAGTACTCCTCTGTCACATTCTAATCCTATGTCACACATTCTATTCCTTCATCACACAATGTACTCCTCTGTCACACAATCTATTCCTATCTCACACATTCTATCCCTATATCACACAATGTACTCCTGTCACAAATTCTATTCCTATGTCACACATTCTAATCCTACATCACGCAATGTACTCCTGTCACACATTCTATTCCTAAGTCACTCATTCTATTCCTATGCCACACATTCTATTCCTACATCACATAATGTACTCCTCTGTCACATTCTATTCCTATCTCACGCATTCTATTCCTACAGCACACAATGTACTCCTCTGTCACACATTCTATTCCTACATCACACAATGTACTCCTCTGTCACACATTCTATTCCTACAGCACACAATGTACTCCTCTGTCACACATTCTATTCCTATGTCACACATTCTATTCCTTAATCACACAATGTACTCCTCTGCCACACATTCTGCTCCTACAGCACACAATGTACTCCTCTGTCACACATTCTATTCCTATGCCACACATTCTATTCCTACATCACACAATGTACTCCTCTGTCACACATTCTATTCCTACAGCACACAATGTACTCCTGTCACACATTCTATTCCTACATCACACAATGTACTCCTCTGTCACACATTCTATTCCTATGTCACACATTCTATTCCTACATCACACAATGTACTCCTCTGTCACACATTCTATTCCTATGTCACACATTCTATTCCTTAATCACACAAAGTACTCCTCTGTCACACATTCTATTCCTATCTCACACATTCTGCTCCTACATCACACAATGTACTCCTCTGTCACACATTCTATTCCTATGCCACACATTCTATTCCTACATCACGCAATGTACTCCTCTGTCACACATTCTATTCCATATGCCACACATTCTATTCCTACATCACACAATGTACTCCTCTGTCACACATTCTATTCCTATGCCACACATTCTATTCCTACATCACACAATGTACTCCTCTGTCACACATTCTATTCCTACAGCACACAATGTACTCCTCTGTCACACATTCTATTCCTATGTCACACATTCTATTCCTACATCACACAATCTTGACAGATGCTACATACGCATTAAGGAAGAGATGGCTTTTGAGAAGAGTTTTAAATTTTGAATAGAGATGACACAGTCAAGGGTTGAGTAAAGATGGTGGCTTGTTCAACTCAACAGCTGCAGCACAGGAGTTGGACTCGTTACCATACTGTGTAGACTGTACTCGTGGGACAGTGTTCAACACTAACATGGTATCTGGTCTGAGAATATTATATTTTCTTAAGGACCAGGGTGAGGTTGAACAAACCAATCCCTGCTCTAATTATATGATGATCGTAACTCCCATGCTGGAACACAGTCTTATCATAGTTGTATCACTTTAATTGCTTTGTGGCTAATAATGTCATTAAATTGTGGTTTAGTTGTCTAATGTTATGTAAGGATGAAACAAACTAATTTACATCTGATGACTTTTGGACCCAGTAACAGATCAACTCTAAACTCTAGCAAGCTTCACAAGTTACCCAGCAGGCAAAACTGCCATTTGGTAGACACTGAGTTTGAAGAATTAGAATGGAATTATAGATCTACCATTAAAAGTCCTTTTTGGTTATCACTACTGTGTGTGGGAAATGTCCAGTAGATTGTTCTATGTGCTTGTTTGTACCAGTGGAAGAGGCAGTGGCTGAGTGGGTTAGATGGCTGACTTCATGTACTGGTGATTAGGTACCTGGCTCTGAGAGTGTGGGTTCGAATCTTGGGCGGGACTCCATGTTCTAGAATCTGTACTTTACCAAGGAAGTGTAATCTCAAATATAACATGTGTTACGTCTGCACCAGTCACAAGATTTTCACAGTGTTAAAAACAGAACTAATTAAGACTGATTCTGTCATGTTGGTGATCTGGTTGGTTGGTACAAGGTCATGAGGTCACACAAATAACCTGCCCGAATGACATCCTGTCATGGATGATAACACCATCATTATCCTATAATGACATCAAACATTGAATGACGGGATCAAAGTATAGCCTTATTTCATAAGTCGTTAACTATACACAGTATGCCTGCTGATATCTAAACAATAAAGTCCTCAAAAGAACATGCAAAATGTCGAAATAATAAATTATCAAGAATATTAATCCATGCAAGTCTTTGCTTGCATAACAACTTTTTT